TGGTCCTATATACTGTTCTTTGAAGCAGATATATCAAGCGTGAGCATAAGAAAGCACTTGATCTGGATGGCTTAGGTAAGGGCCATTTGAACTCCCAGCTGTATTTACTATATGCCTGGACTGGTCTGCTCAAAAACTGTACAGAAATAACTAATAGTTTCATTTGAATACATTAAAGTTTTTAATTTGAGGTTCTTACAGCAGTGAACATGAAAAGTACCGTCTTCTGGGGTGCAATGCTGTGTAGTCCAGTAGAAGTTAACCTGCATTCTGAAGGAACATAATGTTTCCATCTTTACACTTAAAGAGTAAGCCCAGGAAGAAGTAGTTTTACAGCTTTCCTTCTTTGCTTACCTTTTGACCTTTAAGACTGAACCAGGACATCTCTCAAAATGTTAGCAAACTTCCATTTAAGCCCATGGCATTACATCCCAGAAGACAGTGGTCTTCACGTTAAAGTTTTGAGTTATTTTTTAAATGAGTTCCAAAAATGGTTAGTGCCTCTTAGATGAATATGATATAGTGAGAAAGCATAATCATGTGCAGCATTTGCACTGCAAGAAAGCTCTTGTAATATCCACATAAGTGCAAGTTGCCTCACACTCATGAAACTCTGCAGAATATACACAACCTCTCATGGCATTATCTTGCTTTATGTGACTCACTGTATTGAGATCTGCTATTCCATATATGTGAAACAAAGGAACATAAGATACAAATTCATTATAACTGGAATACTCTGTCGAAACATAACCAAATACCTGTAATCATATATTATATTTAAGCATCCTTTTGCACGATACACTTCTGTATGTAATAACACAAATGCCGTCATGAATGCAACAATTTATTTGGTTGTAGTTCTTTGTCTTTTCTTCCTCTACACTACATGTTTCGGCCGTAACTGGCCATCATCAGGTGTATTTTTCACTATGTAGCTGTCACACTGCACATAATCCAAAATCTAAAACACCAGCCTGTCAGTTTTGTTTAAAATCTCGCCAACATACACTCGTCAATTTGATTTTAGAATTCCAATTTAAAATTTTAAAACTTAAAGTTTTAAATCACAGGGCTGCAGCGGCTATTTCTTGTTTTCAGCACCGTTAACGTATTATCCGTAATACACAAATATTCGTATTACTATCTTATGTTCTTACACCATTCTTATGTGTTTTATACTGTTGTACTTACTCTGTGCAGGCTCTGTGTGTCACTGCTCATCTTTAATATGTTTGCTGTCTGGTGTGTTGTGTGCTGTGTTTTTATGTTGTTGAGTGTAGGAGAGGAAGGGGAAGTGGGGAGGGGGGACACTGTTAGTCTGTATAGATCTCATATATTGTTTGAAACATGTTTCTATGTGTGTCATTCATGTGTAGGCCTTTCTTACTTACTTTGTATATGTGGTATTTCTCTAGTGTATTCAAATGTCTACCCTTCTTTCCTGTTGTTACAATTTCCATTATGTCTGTTATTGTTCCCTATGAATGTCTGCAGCACATGTAGACACAGAGCAGGTATCCATGTGATTTAAAACTTTAAATTTTAAAATTAAAAATTTTAAATTTGAATTCTAAAATCAAATTGATGAGCGTATGTTGGCGAGATTTTAAACAAAACTGACAGGTTGGTGTTTTAGATTTTGGACTGTGTGCAGTCTGACAGCTACATAGTGAAAAATACACCTGATGATGGCCAGTTACAGCCGAAACATGCAGTGTAGAGGAAGAAAAGACAAAGAACTACAACCAAATAAATTGTTGCATTCACGACGGCATTTGTATTATTACATACAGACCTGTAATCAAATGTATAAAGAACATTTACAATAGCTGCTAGCATAATACTTAATGTACATAACATACACAAACGACCACAATACATTAGGGATAAACACTAGGAAGTGTATGTATATTTAACACATGTATAAAAATTTGTGCTCTGAAAACAGCACCATTCTGGCATGCCATGTATAAAAAGTGAATCATGCAAAGCAATCAGTGTACATACCACATTATGGTATAAGTACTGTGATCTAATCACAAAATGCACCTTAACTTGCATATAAAAAGTTCACCTCAGAGTTAAGCATAATTTGTAAAACAATGTAAATCAGTTATTTATTTACTGATATGTATGATACTGCACTGCTTCTCTACAGACACTATTTCATAAGTTTCAGGTAAAACTGCCTGTAGCCCATCATGAAGCTGCATTCATTGTGTGACTCATTCCTGCACACTACCACTGAACCACGAAGTATTTTATAAATTCTCCTGATTTTAATTATATTAAAATCAGAATTTGTGTCCTTTTCGAAATCATGGGTTTGGTGCCTTACAGTGAATTCAAAGGTTTTGGTTTCTAAGATATAAGATAAAAGAAGAATTTCCTATTAAAATTTAAAGCAGTTGCAATTTCAAACCATATACAGGGTGTTTCACGACTTTAAGGCATAACTGCAGGAGGTGATTTCCTAGGTCTTTGTAATCAAAAAAGTTCATATAAACATGTGTCCGATTTTGGACAGTTACGGAGTTATGACCGTTTTAAACTCAGAATAGAAGGTAATGATTACTGACAATAAACGGAACAAAATAATAAACCAGCATAATACATGATACATTTAAAGTATGAATGGAAAGATAACTTCGTGAAATTACCTCTAATTTGAATTGATTGGAGCTTAAAGCTGATTTTCAAAAATGCCACTGCCGGCCACAGCACAGACAGCTGCTCAGTTGTGAACCGTGCCAGACATACCAACCCACCACGCCTTAGGTAGCTCTCAAGTGTTGAGATAACGCGAATGCTCTGTCTGTAGCTGGCTAATAATAGCGACCCGCCAGCTGAGAGACGCGGTTCACACAAGGGCGTGTATGGGAATGAAAAAACAGTCATAACTCCGTAACCGTCCAAAATCGGACACATGCTTACACGAACTTTTTTGATCACAAAGACCTAGGAAATCACCTCCTGCAGTTATGCCCTAAAGTCATGAAACACCCTGTATACTATCAGATTTTGTACTCTTAAGATTTAGTATTTGGAAAGAGACNCCTTCTACAGTTACAACTACAATCCCAAATTTTCAGTAAGTAATACAATGATCTTTAATGAAATCAAGAAAATATAGTTTAATTAAAAACAGAAGCCTTTTAAACTATGAACAATGTAAAAAAATGCATTATTAAGCATCTTATGATCACAAAAATTTTGCTGTGTGGTGGACACAAGTGATGAGTGCATTCGCACACTTTGGCAGCTTCCATTTAAAAGATTCATGCACTGTAAGCATAACATAACAATGTCACTCACACATAGAGAGTTTATTCAAACACCTGCATTCTGATTAAGACAATATCAATCTAATTGTAGTTACTATTAGGAAACTTTTCATACACTATAAATAAATTACAATATTGAATTTTACAATCAATAATACAGTACAGTACTTATTAAATTCTTACACAATCTGAGATTCTGCTTAACTACAATGTCATGTTGATAGAACACTACTTTAACAGCATCTGCAATTAAGTGGCATTCATGTTAAGGAAGTGTACTTCACACAAACGCTCTACTTAAATTTCAAGCCATGTTTCATAAGAAGCATTCAATTACAGTATACTCTGGATTATCCAAGCTAATTAAAGGGAAAATGGGTATGAGTAATTATTACTATAAAATGCATTCCCCTGCAATTCTTGTTTAAAACATTTCTCCCACCAATAAACATGTAGCTGAAAATGGTTCATTAAAATTGTTAAATGTAAATGAAAACTGATATAGAGTGCAATCAAAAAGTCGCGCACATCAAATTAAAAGTTGTTAGAAATTGTATTGCAGTTAATATAATTACATCTCCTACCACTAGATTGTACTGTAGGAGTACTACAGAGTAGAAATGCCATCTGTCATGTATCAGTCATACATCTGCAGTATAGCTTTGTTTATTGAGTGACAGACATGTTGTTTCCCCAAGAACGAGTTTTCATCATGGCAACCATGGGACTGAAGAGTCTGATTGGGTTTTCTTCTCTGAAGAAGAGTGGTTCAAACTTAGTGGCCACATGAATAGTCAAAACAACAGGATTTGGTCATCTGAAAATCCATGTGTTACACGAAAAGCCCTTGCACTGTCAGAAAATTGGAGTGTGATGTGCTGTATCACGTCATTGAAAAGTGGGCTCAATTTTCTTTGAAACAACAGTGAACAGTCCAATGTACCAAGACATCATTACACAGTTTATTGTGCTTCTTGAAGTTGATGAACTGAGTGTTGGTTGCAGTAAGACGGTGCCACATGTCACACATCTAAGGAAACCATGCAGTTCTTGCGTGAGTTTTTTGGTGACCGTCTCATTTTGAAAGGATTGTGCCCCCCCGCGTTCAACCTAATTGTCACCTGTAGATTTTTCCTTTGGGGGAACCTCAAAGGAATTGTCTATAAAAGCAATCCGCATACACTGGATGACCTCAAGAGGAACATTACAACAGCGATTAACAGCATCAGTTTACAGGTGCTCCACAAAGTTGCCTCAAACATGGTAAAAAGAGCTCGTGCATGCATTGTTGAACAGGGAAGCCATTTCGAGCATATGTTGCAAAGACATGATTAGATTTTGCATTTCTAAGATGTAAGGTTATAAACACTTATAGTAAGTACTGTATGTCTTGTAATTTGTGCATTAAACCAGCAAAATATAATTGCTTAGTGTGATGTGCACAACTTTTCCATCTCCCGGTACTTGGCAATTCTTGGTAAAATTCTCCAATATCAAATTTCATAAAAATCCATCCGTCTGTTCTCAGGATACTTCATGTATAAACACGGATTGACAAATGGGATGAGTGAACTAAATGTGTGCTCTGCAAGGTTGCGAATGTGTCTAAAAGGGCAACTGGGAAAGCTGCAAACTGGGTGAAACGTCCACAGATATACAGAGTATACTGTATTTCATTCAATACAGTGCTTGAAATTTAAATGAAGAAAAGCAAATTGCGGTAAGTAACTTCTAAGATGTGTACATTAGAAGTTTAGACTGAGTGAAAGAAAACTGTTATTATCAACATAAATTATATTAGCCTAATTTGGTTCTCTTGTCTCCAGAAATGGCAATGAGATTCAGAGACCATAAAGCTGAATTTAACCAGACTATTAAATGAAAAATTAAAATTAACTGCTCAGTTTCCTTCAAATAGCACTGAATGACAGAACTGGTGAATAATGAATTGGAAATGACATAGAATAGCCATGACCTAATTTTAGGTACTATCCCAGCATTTGCTTGGAAGCACTGAGGAAAACCATGAAAAGTGTAGTTAAGGTAGACAGTGTTCCACTTGAAATTTGAACTTGCAATTTCTTGAATAAAAGCCAGAAGTGCTATCACATAAGTCAGCCTGCTTAGTAAGATGCCATCCCTTCTGGTTAATATTGAGGTAAGCTCGTGGCTTACATTTCAAATAAGTTAACCTTTATATTTTAAGTTGTTACCAATAGATGGAATGGGTATCTTATTTTTTGAATATTGAAACAAATGTGTTTTGGATAATATACTGAAGAGTAACTTCCATTTTGCCACATGAACAAAAATACAACAGCGATGTGAATAAGACCCAAATGACAGCACTGGTAAACCAGAAGGCTATCTGAATAACACAAGGGACAAAGATAACTATGGAACAAACGATCTATTCAAATCTGATATCTAAAGTAAGTATTATGCAAGTCTTTATAAATATCACCAAATTCAAAATGGAACACTTATGCTCCTAATTTATCATTTTTGGGGAAGTTCATCCTGTATTCCTATTTATTTCCACTGGTGTCTAAACAATTCAATATTTACTTTACTACATTAAAAAAAATATGTTCTTATGCTAATAAATACCAGCTTTTGTTCACCTAAATCACCATATTCTCTCTTAAATTACCAGCATTGCCTGTTATGCTGATTATCTAAATTAAATATTATACTGATTGCACATTAATTCGGGCTGTTACAAATACAGTTTTTAATAATGATACTTTATATGGTAATGACACACAAGTTTTTGCACAGCAAAAACCATTCTTGAATTATATTAAATGCAAATATCAATAATTTATGTTACAGTCTACTATGATATACTAGTGTGGGTGTGTGTGTGTATGAGCATTCTTTCTGAGAACTAATAATAACTTAAAGTCTGTTCACACCTGGGTCAGACAGAAGTTTCTGAATTGAGGCGGAGAACAAATTTGTTTGACTTGGGGTCAACTACTTCTTCTGTAACATTGAAGTGAGGCAAAGCACGAACATGGCACAGGAGTGACACATCATTCTGACGTAACTGGAACGTGATCCCATGACTAACAGGACGTGATAGCAACTCTTCACAAATAAGAGCCCAAGTCTGCACAGGTTTTTGCTCCTTTTCATTCTGAAAAAAATTTAAAATGTTATCCACATATTATGAAAGGTTAATCAACTCCATCCAGTGTCAGTGATAAAATGCTTTTTTTTTTTAATTTTTCCTTTTCAAGCTTTCATCCTTAGATACCATCTTCAGAAGGATATATGAATACAGACAGGAACTACCATTACGATATGTTTGGTCAATATTAATACATATATAAAATACCATCATAATGCCATGAATATAACATCTGATCCTTTAACAACTACAGTGATGTGCATGAAAACATTAAAATATTTATAAATTATTACAATTAATCTGTTTACAAGTGTGGTTTAAAAAAGATTTTGCTAACATTTTTAGAATCAATTCGGTTCATGTCCTTTATATTGCCTCTCTTTAAAGGACATGAACCAAACTGGTTCTAAAAATTTTAACAAAATCTTTTTTAAACCACACTTATAAAGAGATTAATTGTAATAATTTATAAATATTTTAATGAATCAAATCAAATTTATCCACCTACCTGCCAACACATAACTTAAATTTGCTTTCACATGTTTTTACACAAAGCTGGATTTACATGAGCTGAGTCCTTTGTAATATGGGGAAGATCTGTGTATGTTTATATGTACTGTATTTTCTGAGATAACTAACTCATATTTTTCAGAAAAAAAAATTGTGCCAAAAAGTATGGTGTGCAACTTATTTGCATTTAAGTTAAGAGCACTATTCGTCTGTCATATTTAGCACTCAGGAGCAGCCCACTCCTCTGTTAGCTCTTGTATTAGCATGTACCACACTACTAGCAACGGTGCAGTTCATTTCAATTTATTCACAAGTGCAAGTCAGTTTCAAGCTGTGATTTTGATTGAAAAAAATGGTACACAGGGTATGCTATTATGATGTTTCATGTTGGGTGAAAAATTGAAGCTAAAGCATGAAAGACGTGTGGGAATGTATTTCACCTGGACTAGTAGAGAGGAATTTCAAGAAGTGCGGCATCTCAAATAGCCTTGATGGATCAGATGATGATTTCAATATGTACAGTGATGATGACCACGTAAGCTCTGCTGACAACAGAAGCAGTGGAGAATAAAATGCTGCAGGCACATAATCTTTGTGTCTAATTGGCAAGTATTATGTGATGAAGTCACAAAAGAATAAAGAGGAAGGACCACTATGAATATTTTCATGTTGCAGGACACCAGGTCTCAGGAACCGTAAATGTAGCAGCATCACAAATAACACAGAATTTTTTTTTCTATATGAAATAATGTTTATTATTTAATATATTTATTTACTTACTTACTTACTTACTCATGGAGCTGAGCCCTTCTGGAGGAGCCGCCAATTCTGCAGCTACTCAAGAATTTCCCAGCATTTTATGGAACCCGAAGGTTCATTACTGTGTTCACAAGAGCCCTCCACTTGTCCCTATCCTGAGTCAGATCTATCCAATCCATACCATCCCATCCTCTCTCTAAGATCCATTCCAATATTGTCTACCCACCTACGCCTTGGTCTTCCCTATGGTCTCTTTCCTTCTGGCTTTCCCACCAATATCCTATATGCATTCCTCATCTCCCCCATTCGTGCTACATGACCTAATATGTTTATTAGTGTTTGATATTTAGTTAATGTTTAATACTTGGAATATTTTTTAAAAAAATTGTTTTTACCCCATCTTAAAAACTGGGGTGTGTATCTTATTTGAGGGCACGTGGTATTCAAGAAAATATGGTATAACACAAGTAGGGACAGTATAAGATCATCTGTATATGTAAGTCAGCCAAAGAACACCCGATAAAACAAATAGAATAAGATATGCACTTCAATTTCTAAGGGGCACCTCTACCATGATGCAGTGAAATACATTTATTTAAAAAGACAACTGAAAATGCTGATTATCCATTTTACTGATACAGTATCTCTCTTAACAAAAAAAAATGTAACAGTAATTTGAAAGGTAACCATAGGATGAAAGAATTACCTACCATAATCATCTCTTGATATGTGCTGTAGGACAGGCATGGGATATTTTTTTATCCTGACAGCTATCTGCATTATAATGTGACATTAATCCAGACACAGACAGTTATGTCATGACCATGAAAAGATTAATAACACATTCAAGAAAAGTGGACAGTTGATTGGTAGGTTACCTGCATCCTTATGGGTCTCCATATGAGTGGATTTATTTCAATCCATGTCATCCTAATGTCAATTTATTTCAATTTTTTTTAAAGATTAAAATATACCTGAAGCACAGGTGAGGGTACAAGAAAAGGCTCAAGAAAGGCTCGAGGTGTCAGATCATGACTGAGGCAATCTGCTAAATGTGTGAGGATTGATTCAACAGAGTGACGAGGCTGTTGTCGTGTGACTCTCAAGTACTTCTGAAGAGCTCGAGCCATTGAAGGAAACACAGCTTGAGCAGCCTCCTGAGGATCCATTGGTATTGCAGGCACTGTAAGTAAATAACCGTAAGGTATGAAAGATAAAGAAATGTTTCCAACCTACATCCTACACCTTTTGTGAGGAATGAATGCATAAGAGACAAGGTATGACAGTTCTACAGTCTTAATGCATTTTTTTTTCCTGTGGCACTACACCCCCAATTTGGTCCTAGGCCTACCTCCATGAAACTCTCCGTTTCACTTCAGTTTACTAGATCTTACACATATGGTAGGACTCCTTGGGCGAGTGATCAGCTCGTCGCAAGACTTCTACCTGTAGACAAACACAGAAAAACACATACAAACATCCATGCCCTGAGTGGGATTCGAACCCACGATCCCGGCTTCCGAGCGAGTGAAGACAGCGCACCCCTTAGACCGCTCAGCTACCGTGACTGGCCTTAATGCATTACTTAAAGTAATAATGTATGAAAAGTAGTATCTCCTGAGATGTAACATCATATAGTATGGTAGAAGTTTTGTAAAATTTCTGAAGATGTACGTTCTCTAGCTTCAGGATTAAGTAGTAAGCCACCCAAGAAAGTAGTAAGCTGCTTACTTGGTTTACTCCTCGATCCTGAAGATGGAGGAAGTACATTCCTCTGAAACACCACCAAACTTCTACTAGACCACACTGTGTCACAGCTGAGAAAATGGCACTCTTTTTTGTTACTTCTCTGAGAACCTCAAATATCACATAATGCACAACTGACACTGTTAATTATATCGTACCAATAAAGATTCTAATATAAACAACATCAAAACAATGACATATTTTTCACTCTCTTAATATTTCATTTTATTTATTTCGTATTACAAAATTCAACTTTACATTTACAAAAATAAAATGTATGGTTTGAAAATCATTTCAAATAAATATGGGAACATTAAAAACAAGAATGGGGTACATGCTGAAATTAAGATAAGAATAAATTCAAACTTATCATCATTCAAGTTCAATAAGTATTAGTAACCTCTCCAGTCCTAAAGATTAATGTATATACAACAATTATTTCACCAGTTGTCTTTGATTCTGAAGTGTTGCTGCACTTTGATGAAAGAGCATATTTCCAAGTATTAGAAAACAAAGTATTCAGGAACCTATTTGAACTTTGGGGGGGGGGTTAAATTGTCCCTCTGGATGGGTCCCAGAGCTAGTCTGGACACAGTGCAGAAAAGAGAAATCTCTTGCCCCTGCCAAGAATCAAACCCCAGCTGTCCAGTCCAAAGCCCATTGCTATATTGACTCAGCTATCTCAGCTAACCTATTTGAACCTTTGAGAGACAAAGTTAATGAGAATGAAGAATGTTACATAACCAGAAATTTCTTTATTTTTACACCTTATTTAGTATTGTTAGGTTAATCAATTTCAGGTTATGATAAGATGTATGTACCATGTATGAGAAAAACAAAGTTTAATATGCATGTTTCAGGGTAAAACCTCTTAAAGAAGATAATACAGCCAATGGATGCCTTTGGTAATAGCAGTGTTAAATTTTCAGGTTCTTTTTCCAGAGGTAGAGGTGAGTGTGTTAGTGTTTTCTTCAATCCTTTCAAGCAAATACATGGATAGCACCTTGTACCTTGCATATTTTGCCAACCTTGGTCATTATGGAGACGTTTAATATGGGTGAAAGCCTCTTCTGCAGCGGTAATAAGGCGTGCTCTGCGTTTCTTCACTCTACGTTCATAGTCATGTTCTTCGTAGAAACGTTCATTGTGGCTAGAATCCCTACGACGGGCATGGGCAGCCAACATGGCACGTGACTGGCTCTGCTATAACAAGGAGCCAATGTGTCAATACATCTGTCAAATTATACAATTTACAACAGCATTTATGATAGACACTTTAAAATATTTCATGAGCAGAGGTAATATCTATCACATTTTGCCAAAATGCAAACTGTCTCAGTTTTAAAACACAATTTCCAAAAATCTAACTGCATGATCGACATGAGCTTAGAGAACTGTGATGTTGTGCCATCTCCTACTGATCACAATGAATAAATGCTTTGAATGTGAATCTCTCACACAGTATGTGTTTCTCTGCAATAAGTTATTTTATAATCATGAAATGAGCACTGGAATGTTACACTTCCAAACCTAAAACGATTTTACTATGAGGGTGACTGTCCCACTTGAACTACGTGTTAACCACTGAAAAGTTTGCAAAACAGAAAGCATTAAATACTGACAATATTATAATATCTGAAACTGGGAATGATTGATTCTGATCAGAAGAATACATAAGCAAAGAATATTAAATAGCCTCTGTTAATGCAACTGCAGAGATGATGTAGGAGGACATGTGTTGTTACAAGAAAACTTTCCAAAAATCACATGAATAGAAATGGAATTAATAATTCCATGGAGTGCGCAGCGACTAGTAGTCACTCAGCCACAGCTTCTCTCCTACTAGATCTAGTGGTTAATGTACTAGCATAATGTTCAGAAGATCCCATGTTTGATTCAATCACCATCACTAATATTAAAAATACTAACATGCCTCTGATAGACATAAATTAGTATAATGACCAATCACTCCTATACAAAGCATACTAGTCTAGTACTTAACATATTTTACCTGCAGTGAAGAGGTATTCATGCCATCCACATCATAAAACTTGAAACTGGAGCCTCCTTTCCGAGATTTGGAAACAGGCAGCCGTTCAAGATATGGATTGTAAATTGGAAATTCTGTATAATAATGCTCTAACACCCATACTGCTGCCCTTTGGATACTCAACTGACCAACTGAGTAAGCACGGCTTTCACCATCTGGGCTTCGTACCACCTGTAAGAATTTACACTGAACATTCAAGAGGAATACAATGAACCAGGTTTACATTGAGGCACTACCACTAAAACAGTCATTATGGTCAGTGTCAAGCGATCAAACCTCAGAAATTCTTATTCAGACTATCATATTACATTAGAATATTAGCTCTAATGTCTAATTCAGTTTGTACAGTAATTTATGCATTGCCAATCTAAACATTGCTAGACTAACCAATTGTTGGCCACAAAAATCTGTGAAATGAGTTTGTTTCAAGGAGTCAAGGTGTCTAATTCGTTAAAATGTCCTTGTTATGTAATACATATCTGGGTAGCATTACATTCTAGAATTTTTCTGTGATGTAATTTTAATGGGATGAAAAACTAGGTAAAAAATATGGTACAACGAGTTCTATCTTCTATACAGCTGTGTAGTTCACTTAAAGTCAATGGACTGCATAGTATTACATCCCAGAGGGCAGAACTCTCCATTACCACTGGTGAGAACCTCAAATCCTACAAGAGACGGTACATTTCATTTCACCACCACTCTAATATGCTTAGATAAAATAACTTTCAAGCTTCATCCAACCCAATATATTTTATTTAAAAAAACCTTTCTTTCACATAATTTCATTTGCTGTTTGCAACAACCTTTACTGCAGTGTCTCTTGTTATCAATACGTTACAATGTTCTGCTTTTCATGATCTTATAGCAATACTGTTTCTATTCAGTCCAAAACATTTCACTGTCCTTAAATGTAAGTTAAAAACATGTAAGTTTTGAGGTTTTCACGGCGATAACTATGAAGAAAGTCTGGGATCTGGCGCCGTGTATTCTTGGTTTTAACTGACGTTTCGGGGGAACATATCGCCTCCATCTTCAGGGTAGTTGAGTTGTGTGCAAATACAGATAGCTGTAGCTGCAAGAATACATGGTGCCAGATCCCAGAAAACGACTTTCTTCATAAGTTAAAAACAGTTCACAATGTAACTCACATTTAAGATTTCTTTTGGGAGCAGTGGATTTAAACACTAGCTGAGGAAAACCTTAAATGAAGGTAATTTAGCGCCAAAAATATTGACTTGCAAGCACTGCAATTGAAAGTTAAATGGGGGTACCACTGAATTTCCTTAGTTTTCAAAAGTTTAAATTTATTCTTGCAACTATATAGTTTTATATACTCAGAAGCATGTAATAATGATTTAATGTTAGTCTACTGAGACAAACTGCAGTTCCAGTGCTACAGTTACCTTGATATAGTACACAGGCTGCAGATGCCTTATCTCTATGAGGACCACAGCCAAGTAGTGAATGAAGAGCAATGTATCTGTGAGACTAGAAGAATAGGCCACTAGGCTTTTATAGTCGACTGCCTCCTCTCCAGTTGCCGACGCTACTGCTCCTTCTGTCACTTGTACCACATAGAAGAGCCAATAAGCAAAGGTACACACTAGAACAAGCACCAAGACAGCAGCACGGAAAAGGAAGATTCGGGGCATTGTGGCTCGAGGGCGTCGCAGGAATACGGCCCATGCTCCAGCTGCCAGCAGGACAAGTTTAAAGGCAAGTGATACAAGGAGACCTTTGCACTCTGCACCGCAAGCCAGGAGCAGGAGGCGCTGCTGTAAACCTACTGTTGGTCCTGGGTTCAAAGCTGGGAAAAAACCCAATTTTGGCAAGACTACCATGGCAAGTGGACTAAGAAAAGCTACTACAGAGAGTACTGTGGTCAATGCTGAACCCAAATAACGGTGACATATGAAGCTGAGTCCTGTGTCTGGCTCTCCAGTCCATTGACCGCCCCCAAGATCTTCAACCTCTGACTGTTCTGAAGTATTGCCTGTTACTGCAGTGGTGTTCTCACCCCAGTTGTCATCCTGAAACATGAGCAACAGCAATAGATGATTAAACAGCTCTTGTTTGTAATAATGAGTGAAACACAGAAGTGGCACAAAATACTCATAAATGACAAAAATACATGAACAGCATGAGTCTCTAGTAAATTAGTAACTGAACTTGGTTAGCATGGTGGGAGGTCTTTATTTCAGAAGTGAAATTCAGAAGGGAAAATCGATGAAGAGACCAACAGAAGAATACAAAACAGCTCTAAATTTGAGCAAACTGTAAAATTAAAATTATAGAACAAGAGGATCCCACAAGGGTGCAGAAAAACAACCCATAAAATATATTTTAACAGATATTAAAATATGTCAAAACAGTGGCATTTATAAAGAGAAACACAAGCAGAATCTAAGCAATGAATGTGAATTTTTTGACAAGTACTGTGGAAAAATCACAAAGGGATAGTTGGATTTATTGGATTTTTGGACTTCGTCCATCGTCCAAAAACCCAGTAATTCCAAGTGTTATACACCATCATCAGAACCCTTTAGACTCTACAAGAAGGGACAGAATTAGAAATGACATTTTCCAAGAAGTTAGGATTCAAAATTTGTTCAGAGTTAAAAGAGAAAAGATTTCAATGGTTTGGCCATACAAAGTGATTGGATAAAACAAGGATACTGAAAATGGAATGAGAATTAAAATGTGAGGGAAAGGAACCTATAGGATGATGCAGAACAAGGTTTAGCCAGGTAGTGGAAGACATCAAGAAGACAGGAAAGCAATGGCAAGGAACTGAAAAGGAAAAATTGTAGGAGAGAGACGAGAGCAAAGACTTCTCACAATTTCACCTATATAAAAAGTATAAGATGGTAGAAAAAGAAATATGAGGTCTGTTTACTAATCACAGACTAATCTAAGTAAAGGCACTATGAAGACTCAATGTTAAACAGGTAAGTGCATTAAGTAAGGGCTAGCACTAAAAAGAGATAAGTCCAGCCATTCTCACCTGTGGAATAAATGACATATCAATAATATCAGGACTTACAACCTTTAACAGACTCATCCTTCATTTCATGCTTCCATTAAGTTATAATACATCAACTTGAATCTTTCACTATTACATTTAGTTCTGTCTTTACAATTTACCCACAGCACTTCTAGTGTTTTTTCAATAAACGTAAAAATTAACAACCAGAATGAAAGACCTTAAACGTAAAAATTAAGTTGCATAATATATTCTTTGTTTAAGTGTATATTACCATACCCCAAAATACCAAGAGATGATATGGTGTACCATGTCTTGAGCAATTACTAACCTGAGGGAGAATCTGGACCTCAATCACCTCCTGACCATCTCTATTCTCATCACTTAAAGTTACTGAAGTTTGGAAAGGTGCCATTGGATCGTCCCCCTTCCTGTGACTTCTTGTACTTCTGTTGAACAAACAAAATTACAATGGAAATACATATTGCTCAGTTACAGAATATACTGTTTGAACACGGAACACACTGACAATTCCAGGGACTGAAAAATATGCACAGTCCTTCACCCATGAACTAAATATTAATTTTTAGATTTTGGTCTTCTGGGTTATATTACTATGTAGCTCCAAAGATGGCTGCCAATGTTTCAGAGGAGCCTGTCATCTCTATCTTGGAAGATGGACTAGAAGAACACAATCTAAATTTCCAATGCAGTGAAAATCTTGCATCTCATAAATATTACTTCAATTCCACAAAGCCTTTGGAGGGGAAAGGGAAGGGGCAGTGTTGTTATTATTTGTTCTGTCATTAATTTGGCTATTTAATGACCCTGTCAGGATCAAGAGCACACAGTGCTGGATGATACAATGATTAATGAATATGGAGCAGTTGGTAGAGTGAGAACTGGCAAGAGAAGCAAAAGCACTCAGACCCCCGCCCCAGTGTCAGTTTGTCCACCACAAATCATATATGACTTAAACTGTGTTCATGGTGGGAAGCCACTTACAAAATGCATGAGCTATGGCACAGCCTATTATTATTGTTGCTTATAACTTTCAACAATAAGAAAAGTATTTTGATACATTGCGGTTGGTACATCTATGAAAATGATCATACACATGAAAACAATAGAAACATATTCGTTACTAATGTAATCTGTCTGTTCACCTCTATATAATTTACATCATTTTTATTTCTCTTTATCTGACATGGGAAAGTATACATCAGACCTCGCAAGTACTGTATTCCATGCTCCATCTTGAGTTTAGTTTGCTCGACAGTCCGTAAATATGGCTTCAGTGGGACCAACATGCAGCAGTGGTGTCGATAATGCTTGTAAGTGCAGTCACTGTAATTTTTTCCTTGTACCAATACCTTAAAATTGCATAACAGCACCATAACAGTCTAAAAACCCAGTAATTTCAAGTGTTATACACCATCATCAGAACCCTTTACACTCTACAAGAAGGGACACAATAAGAAATTACATTTTCCAAGAAGTGTTATGTTATGATGGTTTATGTGCTCTGTTATTGGTATACTGAGCACCTTTGTCAAAGGAAGTTATCTGATCTGATTCCAGGGGTTCTGGATTTGAGAGGTTGGTCATGTAGGTCAGACCGGGCTGCCAATAACAAAATTTAAGCAAGATAAAATCTTGCACGGCGTCTATTAATATAATTGACTACTATGAATTTCTGCCTGCCAGCTCACAAAGGAAACTCATGCCATATGAAATGGCACAACTTACACATGGACGCGCGTGCACGTACACACTTACTGTACTTGTCTGTAGTATTTAACTAAATGTACATAAAACACACCTAGTGCTTCTGTTAGAATGAAGCCGATAATTATTTCTGTGGGTGTGACTACGTGATCTTCGAGATCTGGAACTCTGTTCACTTAGGGCAGATTTTACCGACTCGGTCTCCATTCCTCTCTAGGTATGATACCCCTGCAGTCCAGCTGGGAATATCTAAAAATTCTGCCAGCCAACATGAGGTCCTAAAACTGCTTTTGTGTACACCGTCCATTCAACGATAACCCAGTATCGTGATGTCAGTGTTTGATCCTGCAACTGTGCAAAACATAATTTAGTTATAAATACAATGAGTTATACAGGCTCGTAACTGTCATAACACTGGGAAAGCCAGCATCAGTGTGGAGATATCTACCTTTTCTTAACCCTTTAAAGCAATATCTTGCTCAAGTAAAATTCCTGATGTATTCGAAGTATTACATACTACAGTGGATAACAATCCGCTTGCGACGAATGGCTTAGAATAATGCTAGTGTTCACATGAGGCCCCATCATTTGCGGTTTTCAAATTAAATTGGAAGATCAGTGTACCACAGTTATAACGTTAACAGCCTTTAAATTTCATGCTCCCGTTTCAGACTATCATCACAGCATTCTTAAACATCGTTGTGAACTGTGCTTTCGAAAGTAAATAAATACATAAACAATAACACACAACTCACTCCTCTTCCACAAAAATTCCCATTCCCGAAGCATGGACAGCGTTCATTTTTAGCACTAGTTTTATTGTGGCCATTGACCCCAGTATTACGCATCATATACTCTTTGTCTTAGTCTCGTAGAACAGATTGAAAGAGAAAAACCAAGAGATCTATGGACCATTGGAAACCAGCCAAACCACATGAAATAGATGCTAATGGTTATAAAATTTGAAAGATGATAGGTGTAAGAGTTAATTCTTTTAATGAAAATGGATTGGGCGAGCCTGAACAAGACGCGAATTCGGCACTGACAGAGTTAGATAAGGGTAAGCGATGAACACAGACCTATAGTAAATTACGGTTTAGGAAAGTAAGAATCGTTAGCAACAATTTGTGGTTACGATGCATCTTGTTAGTTAAGGTTATGATGGTTTATTGGACGTTTTCTTTACAGGTCTTCGATCTGGACGAGTTGGGGAGCAGTGTGAGGCAATAGTGAGATTTCCAAGACTATTTGAAAAATACCCGTTCCCGATTCTTATTAATTCATCTCTGCTTAAGCTTGCAGATGTATTCAGAGTTGGGTGAGGAATATTGCTTTGCGAAGATCATGACCTTCAGCCGGGCGAGATTTGTAAAGGAATGAAGTGCAAAATCAATTATTGCATCATTTATAAAACTTCATAATTTCCAAACTTAGGACGGGAGTTATAAAGCAACGCCGTTAAAAAGCAATGATTGCACAATTTGTAAAACATAATTCCCAAACTGACAGCATACCAAGAACGAGTTGAACCATTAATTAAGTTTTGTATTAAGTGAGTTACGCCGTGGGTAAGTAAGTAATGGACATGTTCTGTTATTTCAGGAACAATTTCTTACGTGTGTGGGTTCTACGTGTTTGCCAGCAAAGTGAGAAGCATTTAGATAAAATATTGAATGTCGATGAATTTGTACGCCGAATTTTTAGTGTCATACATTCAAATGACCCTGTAAGTAAAAATATCAGTATTTAAAATAGTGAAAGTTATTTATAGTATGTAATTGATCAATTACTGAAACATTTGCATATTTAACAGGTAGCTAGAGCTCTTACATTGCGGACTCTGGGCAGTGTTGCTGGGATTATTCCAGAGAGGCAGCAAGTACACCACAGCATTCGCCGTAGTCTAGATTCTCATGATACTGTGGAAGTGGAAGCAGCTATTTATGCTGCCATGCAGTTTGCTGCACAGTCAAAGTATGTTTCAGATCTTACTTATTACTTACTTACTAACTTACTTACTTACTTACTCATGGAGCTGAGCCCTTCTGGAGGAGCCACCAATTCTGCAGCTACTCAAGAATTTCCCAGCATTTTATGGAACCTGAAGGTTCATTACCGTGTTCACAAGAGCCCTCCACTGGTCCCTATCATGAGCCAGGTCAATCCAATCCATGACATCCCATCCAGTCTCTTCAACATTTTATTTGGGAAATCCTGGATTCGATTCTCAGTTGATAACATGCTAACAAGATAACTGATAGACAACATATGCATTCTTTTCTTTTTTCAGTTCCTCCAGGTAAATTCTGGGATGGTACTGTAAAATAGGTCATGACCCCTTGCTTTCACATCCTTTCTAAATTATTTTCAGTCACATTTTGGAGCTGTATAGCCCATACAACTGAAGAAGCTTCATTAGATAAACAAAGTATCAGTGATATGAACCAGGCACCTTTGAAATGGAAACCCAAAATTTAATTCATCAGTATGCAGTCTAAGTGTGAAGTGGCAAATTTCATTGTGTAGTGATGTATTGTTGTTCTGGTAGAAGAGTATCATGTTTCATTATAGTTTGCAATGAAAAGGAATTCTCTTTCATCTTGTTCTTCCTCTTCTTTCCAGATTGTTTGCAGTGAGCATGTGCAATAAGATCTCGGACATGATCCAGGGGTTGGCAACTCCAGCACATATGAAACTGCAACTGATCCCTATATTGCAGCACATGCACCATGATACGTCAACAGCTGCCATGGTCAGACAGTTGTGCACTGACCTGCTGCCAAGTTATCCTGCCCAAGAATTTGTTTTGGTCACCCTCAACTCCCTGACACAGTTGGCTTCTGCTACATTGGTTGACATTCCAAATCAGGTTAGATACACAGTTTGGTTTAACTAGTTTCTCCGTAAGAATTCAAGTATGTTGTTTGGGTTTTGACTGTATATACGTGTGCAGACATAGATATTTTCCATGAATGGATTTTATTGGTTCTTGGAGCCATTCAACAAACAGATTGAATGAGCAGTAAGCATTTTGAAGGTATTTGCTTTGAGTCTTGAGTAAGGTACTTAAAGTTGTGAAGTGTGTTTCTTTATGGTTTGCCTCTGTCAAGCAAAGATACTGTGTTACTTAGAAATATTCCTTCCACCCACCTTCCAAATTTGCCAATTTCTACAGTTGATGCAGGGTCAACAGGTAACCCACAGACTAATCTTTGGATCTTCCCAAGTTACAACTAGGTAATGGCTCTCCGGATTGAAGGTTGTCTTCTCCATTAGTCTGGCATGGCTGTTGTTGATATCATTGTCCACTGTGTCTTCTTGATTCTTCTCCATGTTCCCATAAGAATTTCCTCTTGTACATATGTCCTGTGTTTTCCTCTTGTTTTCTCTTTCATTTATTCTGCTGTGTTATGCTATACATTCTGTGCAACTGAAGCATAATTGAAGAACTTATGGAGCATAACTGCATAGGAAACATCAATGTTAGAAAATATTTTCCTTTATTAGGTATCACTGTTGCTTCATTATCTTCGAACTGATCCTCGATGGGCTGTGAAAGCACAGGTTCTGCAAGGACTCCACCTGCTTGCAGGGCAAGGAGCGCATCTGTGGCCACCAGGTGCTGTGGAAGCTATTGTAGATGTGGCCCTCAACACGCCATATCAGAAAGTTCTCAGCTGGTCACTGGATGTTCTGCAGGTCTTGGCAAAATCAACTGCAACTTGCCATTCTCAACTGCATCCTGGTAAGGGCACTGATGAATTTGGTATACATTGTACAGAGCTCTTCATTTTATATTTAATTTTAGGCTTCTCACTCTGTGTTTATTTATTGTAGCTGTTTGTCTCGCACCAGTCTTCCTCATCATTCCTCATAAAATCAAATTGTGTCTTACTTTAACCCTCTCAGATTCTCTGTCACACTTCATGTGATATTTACAGGGGCAAAAAATGAAATCAGCATTGCTGTTCTTCAGTGGTTGATATAAATCTGCCTAAAATGTGGTCTGATATTGTAAAACTCACTTTCCAGTTAAATGTTTACAAAATTTTAAAATTGGATGCGGTAGGTTGTCATATTCAAAATACATGGATCTCATAGTTTTACAACATCACATTTGTTCATCTTTTTTTGGTAATTACACTGTACATGTAGGCTGTATTGCTGATGTTACTCTCTCCATGTCTACCTCCCAGGCAAAGTCGGACAGTGCTGCAGTAATTTCTGAAACATGGACAGTGCATCCCACCTCTACATAGTTTCATCACCCAGAAAATGGATCTTCATGCTTTTATAGGTAGACTGAGAGGACAGTGCATTCTAATGTTTTGAATATATTTTGCCCAGAATATATACATATATTATTTAAAATGTAATTCAGTAAACAGGGTGTATGAAAACTAATGGTGGGGTTCTGAGGTTAGAGTTTTAGAAAAATGAGAAACACGTCTAAGAAATTAATACCTTAAAGTATACCTCAAATAGATTTGAACATAATTAGTAAGTTCCCACATGCGCACTGTTCATGACCCTGCATGTGTCAAATCGATATTCCACTTCTTGTCACCCACTCTGTAGCATATCTCTTGTTACCTGCTCAGCAGCTTCTCTTGTGTGTACTTAACCACCCATTCTAATCCATTTTCCTTCCAGGAAATGTTGCACTAGAACTTGGTGGGAGTGGGGGAATGTAATGGTACAATGCAGTGGCTTCTGGTGGCCGCTCGTGAAACCATTTTAATAGAGGAATGTACAAGTACAACATTAAATGTGATTCCTTGTGTGTGTATATGGAGACAGGTCCTCCCAAAACCCCATCATTATTTTGTGGACACATTGTATACAGTACTGTCACAGAAATATGTTGTTTCAACTGAGTTGAAGTAGGTTGATACAGCTGCAGTACTTCACACACAATCTAGGCTGACCCCTGAAAATAAAGTGTATTGGTAATAGTTATAAACTATTTTCTTTCTGTGATTTTCAGATTCACCTTTGATGGAGCTATGCAATCGAAGTTGCTATTCTAGTAATCCCGTAATTGCTGCAAAAGCAGTACAAGTTATGACTAGAATTGTGTGTTATTGGTAAGACATTTGCCATTACTACTGTTTTATATTTGCATTTTTACTGTCACTGGTAATAGCCATTNAAGCCTTTCGTCACTCTCAGGAAGTTCGGAGACGACTAAGCGACCGCGGGTTCATAAGCTGACTTCCCCCTCCACCGAGCCCAACCGGTCTGAGAGTGCTGCGACGTATAGTCACTTCACAATAAAATAACTGACATTACTTTTCGGACAAACCCTGTATAGAGTGTACTTGTTTTTTGCACCAGTGATGGCAATAGCAGTTTTCTTGCTGTGTTCAGAATTTTTCCCATGCTCTTCAGCAGGTCTCAGTAAATATTGTCTCTTATTTTATGTAATGCAAAGAGGTGGGACGAGGGTTTGTTTAGAACTGAAGGAGAGGCATGTAAAGAAGTTTGGGAACCACTGATCTAAACAAGTGTTAAACCATGGTGCAATTTATAACCTAATATAAGTGTGTAATGTCTTGATGCCTCAGTTATAAAGAAGAAATGCCAGTACATGGAGTGAGCGAGGCTGTGGATACTGTTGAATCTCTGTTCCTTCTCGTCACATGTGACTCAGGGCAGGAACATAACTATGAGCTTAAAGTTTGCCTTCGCTGTGCAGTCAGCTTGTGTCAAGTTCATAGGGACCTCTGTCCTCGTTTTGTCGACCTCATTGGGACTCGTCTCATGGGCACATCAGGTTGGCATTCTTTTTGTTCAGTGATGCAGATTCCTGTAAAAGCTACCAACATATTAGTAACAACTTTAGATACAGAGTAAAAGTAAAGCTGTCTCTGTGCTCAAACACCATACCCTGAAGGTATACAATCTCTGCTTCATATATATGACTCTAATGAAATATATACTGTAAGGTCTAAGTTTCCTGCATTATAATACTGTGTAGTTTCATAGATTGTTAACAGTATTTTGGAGGAACCTGCTGCCCTCATCTTCAGGCTGCACAATGGTAATCAGCAGTAAAATTATGCGATATCATTGCAGTCTTAATCTTGCTACCATGAAAATATCAAACCTCAACTTTGTGCTCTGGCTAACTGTATCCTGGTTGGCCTGAATAACATACCAGGTTTTAAGAACATGAATTCATTCAAAAGTTACTATAAGAGAAACACACAAGGACTTCATATGTACACTTCATCATGATTAAAAGAAAGGGAAAGAAAGACTGATAAATAGACAGAAAAGGGTGAACAAAGAACCGTTGGCATTGTGTAGGATTTGAGGTATTCACAGTGATGATTATGAAGAGTTTTTATTTCTTCTGGAATATAGCGCCATGTAGCCAGAGAAAAATCAGCTGATCTTTTGAAGGAACATGTCACAGTCCTGCTTGCTAATTGCTTTATGCTGGTTTCTTGCTTTGTTTATTCTTTGTCCCTGAAAATGGAGACATCATGTTCCTCCAAAATGTTGGCTGATTTTCAGTGGACTGCAGAATTATATCCCAGAAAATAAAATACTTAAATGTTGTAGTGATGTGAGGTAAAGGGTGGCTAGCCTTCCAGTAGTTTTCTTGTTAAAGAAAAATCTACAATTATAAAAGACAAATCCATCCAATGTGACTATTTCAGTTTTCTCACTTATAATTGTTATAATTATAACTGTTAGTGTGATGGATCAAAATGAAACAAATCAAATTCAAAGAAAAATCTGTTGTTACAAGCCAGAGTTTCTCATGCCCCACCTCCATATTGAAAAATACTGTGTTGAAGCCTGTGTGGAGATACGAGTATATTACAGAAAGGGAGGCAACTCCTATTTCTATTATTTTTGTTACAATTGTAAAACTAAAAATGGCTTCTTTGATTTAATGGTGGCAGTCTGAAGGAAACTGTAATTATGACTATGAAATTTCACATATTGTATTAAATATGTGTCTGAATGGTATATGGACCTTTGTATTTATAATGAAAGTTCCAAATTAGTGACTGCAAGAAACCTCAGTGTAGGTTAAAAATGTGGGTATGTGCCCATGCTGTAACGACAGTTATTGCTCATGTTACCACATTTTGAGTGAGAATGGAATCACAATAGATAGTTCTGTTACTATTTTCATTTCTGTCACAGATAAGGTGTGTGTGATATTATAATTTAGGGATTCTATTTCTTTGCGTGTGACAACTGAACTTTCTGTCTATTCCATACTTGCTTCTTTGAAGTAATTCTGTTGTGAGTAGATGCTTATCAGTTGTCCTCTTGCTGCAAGTCTTTGCAGAAATCCTGGGTTTTGAACTCAGCAAGGGCAGCCTGCAAATGTCCTTAAAGTATGATAAGTCATTATACCCATCCCTCTGTGCTCCCAACTTGAGTTTTGCCTCCTGCAATGATCTTGAAAGGACTTGCAGATCTCTGAAGTTTTCCTGAAGGTCTTGACACACATTAACACAATTCTGCTTTTGCTAGCCAATCAGCAGATGCACAAATTTTGTGTAACTTTTTTGCATGTTCAAGTCTTTTGTAAAAATTCTTTGGCATGACCAAAATGGGATTCTCATCTCATTAGTTGAGTCACAGATAGTAACACTTTTCATTTCATTTCATTTATTCACCTTCCATAAATCCTGTTGAGAATACATTCTCATGCGGATGTAGAGATCGTCCTAGTTACAGTCACAACTAAGGATTACAGTTGTCATCCAATAGCATACACATTTGTATAAATTACTGATAAACATACACAATATAATAAAGAAGTTCATTTTAGTAGTAAAAGTAATGGTAAGCCTTATACAATTTGTACAGTTTTATACAAGTCTATTAATTAAAAATTCAATAGGTAAAACACAATGTCATTAATGAGTTTTGTATAACATACATTAATTATATAATAAATTGAAATAAAGACTAGTATACAGTAATATAAAGATTGTGTATATCTAAAATAAGCATCTAAAAACCAGAACACAGACTGACAATCTTTCATTCTTTTAAATTGTAAAGCAAGACAACTACTCGCATCTTAAAAAGATTTATAACACTGTCTGGTTGCATGAACAAATTCCTTGATTTGCGCTACATTTTCATCTATTTTGCTTATGGATGAATATCCCGAATGCTTAGTATCATTAATCGGTGTCATTAAACTTTTGAACATGGAAAATCAGTGTTCATTGTTAGTTCTGCCCAGTGTTTCCTCTCTGAAATAAACTTTTAACATTTTGAAGGTTCTGTAGTATTTTTGCCTTGTTTGAAGCAGAGATGGATGGGTACATGCTGTTCTTTAAATTCGGCCTTTTTTTGATAAACGGAAATTGTAGTTGGCACAGTGTACAGCCTTAGTTCACAAAGTTTTACTTCTGAATGATATAAGCTACAACTTTGAATGAACAGCAAATGACTTACAGGGTTCTACCCTACTTCTGCCTAGTAGAGGCGTTTTTGTCTACACAGCTCTAGTGCTATTTTGCAGCTAATCCTGTAACTACGTAATTGATCATAGGGTACATAATCATAAAATAGTCACTATCACAGTTTCTTTCATCCCAATCTGATGATTTGGATGAAACTGACACAGCTACTTTTTGTGAATTTTTGTATTTAGATTAGCATAGACTGGCATTTTAAACTGAAAGAAAGTATGCCATGAATCAGTCAAATTTTTATGCACTATCAGATTATGGACAGAGCAAGATCTGTTTTTCTGTCTCACACCTTCACAATACCTTCCAGGTTATTAGTTTTCTAGCATCCTTCTTCATCTCCTGGAGTCTCGGTTCAAAGTACTGGAAAAGTTTTGTGTCAGTTATATTGTGCAATTTCTGGGCATCATAGCTTTGGGGCGGGTGAATCATAAATCTGTTGCCTGTAACCACCTTTCTGAGCATCACAGCTTTGCAGTGCGTGAATCCTAAATCTGTTGTCTCTATCAACCTCTTGTCTCAATTTCTGTTTATATCTATCTTAATTGATGCATAACCTGACATTCTTCATCTTGTCTTTTATTGTGAAGAGTAAAAATATAAATAAAAGTATAAGTCTGCCTTTGAGTCTAAATGGTTATGATCTGTTACTCATTCAGGATCATGCAGTGTTCAGCTCTGTGAAGCTCTGGGTGCCATTGGAGGTCTGCAGGCTGGAGCTCTCCTCAGTCTGTTACCAGACATTTTGGAGAAACTTCGAGAGCTGAAGGGTGTTCAAGAGCCCAGCCCAGAACAAGTCCATACCAAGGTGTTTTATACAAAGCAACATTTTGTCTTAGAGAATTCTTGATTTCTGACATTGATTCTTAAAAGGTAAAATGTGAAGATCCCTGTGCTTAACTAATTAAGCACTACACCATGAAGGCGTATGTGGGAGTGGATATATAGATCCACATTTTCTTGACCTTGGCACTAGTTGGAGGTGAGCAGTCAGCTTCACGCCCCAGCTGCTTTACCCCCAGGCGAAAGTCCACTGGTACCCATTGGATAGGAGGCTGAGTGGGTCTCAGATCTGGTCTGGACAACATGGAGAAGAGAAAATTTTTGACCCTACGAGACTCGAAAATGGTGAAAATAGAATCTGGTAACTTTCAAACAGTTCTAACAGTTTGTATCTCATTAACTAACAATGACATACCCTTGTTCTCATAATATGTACCTTTGTAGACTGAAACATTTTTTGTACTTATCTGCTTGGAGTTCAAGTGAGTGACATAAGCTAGATGTGAAGTTCAGGATGAAAGTAAGTTTTGGAGTAAAGGTTTACACTTTCACCCATGTTGTTATTGTTGTGTTGTAGGTAATGCTTTGTACATTGCTGTTTCAAACCATGGCTGAATATGAGTGGAATACTGAAGCAAGACGCGCGGTGGAAGTAGCTATTGAAAAGACGAACTTATGGTCAAACTACAGGATTGCTCGGTCTGCTGCCAGGTAATCGTGTGTTCTCATGTAGTATTACAGAAGTACACGTATATACTATTGTTTGCTGTTTATTTGGCTATTTTATGACATTGTAAACTCTGAAGCTTATTTAGCATTAATTGAAGTGTAGTGTAATGAGTATGGGTGGTGAATTGTTAAGATTTAATGTTATGATAAAATATTTTCCTTGTAAGTAGTTAAACTATATCTACACCAATAAATACAATTACTTTATAGTATCAAGTGAATTTCTAAAAAAACTAATGGCATGTGAAATAAACACAGAAGTTGTGTAGGAACACTTTCCAGCAGGGAGAAGATTTGGATATTGTTTATTTCAACTGCAGTCACACTATGTGAGATCTTATGCTCTCACAGTGGTGACTAGGAAGGGTACTGTCTTCTCTGGTAAGTACGTACCTGTGTTTTGGATGTCTCTTCTACCCTGAAAATGGAGATGTTGGTACCTATTTATGAAAGTAGTTAGCATCTCATCCCAGACGATTAATGTTCACAATCACATTAAATTGAGGAATGAGTTCTGGTAGGTCAGAAATATCTTGACACTAAATGCAGGTTACATCCTAAACTGAGAGTCACTAAATACAGAACAATAATAAAGTAAAAGTAAAAAACTAAAAGTATGTAAGATTTGAGGCTTTCATGGCGGTGACTATGAAGAAAGCAGTCTTCTGGGATTTGGCACCGTGTATATGTGGTGTTAACCGACGTTCATCCGAAACGTCGGTTAACACCACATATTCACGGTGCCAAATCCCAGAAGACTGCTTTCTTCAACTAAAAGTATGTCTGTAACAGGCTGTGGAGGCCCATAGGGTTGTGAGATGTTGAGGTTCCCATATTTTCTAGACAATCGGCTCATAGATGGCGGCAAGGTTGTCAACCGTACATGCTGGCCGCCCTTTACCCCCAAGAATATTCCAAGAATATTCCTGCTATTCATTTCTGTTAGAGGCTGAGTCGATTCTGGGGCCATAGTGCTGCTGGAAGGATTAGGTCAATTGAAAAAGATCCAGTGACCTCAGTGACTTGAACCCGCGACCTTCCAGCTTGTAGCATAGTGTCTCAACCAACTACACTACCGTGTGCAGTAATACATTGTTTAATTGGACCTTGGATGGGACTGGAAAAAATAGTTACTAATATGGGAATGCTAAATCAGAATTTCAGTGTATGTGGTTGTGTGTGTCAGGTATGGTCATCACAGTGTGTCAGCGGGTATTCTGAGTCAGCTGAGGGAACAAGTGTCCTCAGAGCACTTCCATTTCTGGTTAGTGTCACTTGAAGAATTAAGCCGTGGTGAGGCAGAGCTCCTGGACTGCTCTAAACAACCAAGTCTGGTTCAGCGGCTTAGTCAGGCTGTGGCACATTATAGCAAATCTGTTGCAGCACTTAAGGTAAAGTGGTACATTGGGTTTGTGTCAGTGAAAAAGGAAAAGCAGATATCAGAAGACATTACTGCATCCACACTTTGATTTTTTTTTCATTTTCCCAGTATGTAAAATGAATTTGTAATTGAAAAACATGTTCATTGATGAATGGGATGGGGGATCTGACTTACTCAATATAGTGAAATGTTGGATTTTAAGTTAGCAGATTCTAACAAGGAAGTAGATATATATTATTTGTTATTCAGAAACTAAACTTCCGGATTGAGTGATCAGCACTCCTGCTTCATATCTTGGAGTTCTGGATTCAAATCTCAGCCCGGAGACGTGCTGCCTGAGGTTTTATATGGTTTTCCTTACTCTTGCCAGGCAAGTGCTGCTTCCTTCCACATCCTTTCTAATTTATATCAAATGAATAATCCTACTGCTTGATATCATGTAGTGTCAGTAACTTATAAGCAAATAAAACTGATATAGCTCAGGATAGGGACCGCTGGAGGGCTCTTGTGAACACGATAATGAACCTTCGGGTTCCATAAAATGCTGGGAAGTTTTTGAATAGCTCTACAATTGGCAACTTCTCAAGAAGGGCTCGGCTCCATGAGGGAGTGAGATATTCAAAAGGTGTCTTCCTAAAAGCAAATTAGACATCATGTGATTTTCATAGATCCTCTTGTTCAGTGATGTAAACTGAAGTGAAGGTAGCATTGCAGGCTGCAAGCACCCCTCTACAGAGCTTGCAGTTTCAGTCGGAATACACCAGGCTGAGAGCCGAGTTCTTACAGTGTCTGGCACAGTTGGTGCACACTTGTCACAGTCTTTGCACAGCTCCTCCTCCAGCTGTAGCGTCAGCAATTGCAGAAACCACTCGTGATAACCTGCAGCGATATGGACATATCACAAATCAGGTATGACTTGAAAACTTACAGCCATTATTATGAATATCTTGGCTTATATGTCTTGTGGGAAGTTTTTACTTGTCTATACTGGTGAGGGTTAGAGAAAGCTTGCTTTCCTTACTATAATTGTAGGATATGGGACGGTTGACTCTTAGAAATTTGTGTAGAAGTCATAATAGGAAAACCAGTTTTAGAAGTTCTGGCATGATGCCATTAAGGGGCTTTAATTTTTTATTTCCCCAACTGTTAGGATGTCACAATTCAGAAATTTTGATTTGACCCATAAGACAGACCTAGTTCCACCAGGAAATAGAAGTTTAATGTTAAAAAAGGCATAATTGATACTTGAAGAATACTATCTTCTGGGATACAGTGACATGTAGTCCCTGAAGATAGTACTCTTCATAACCACTGCTGTAGGAACCTCAAATTCTACCTAATTGGTACTTTCTTATGATGTTTTCCAGAAATTCAGTCTGAAAATTATGAGATTGGTAACTGTAGAAGCTATAGTGATTAATTTTTTAAAACATCAAGACTGTTAAGTCAATACGTTTTATGTTATGTTTCAATTGTTCTCCAGTTGAGAAAGTGTGTCAAGGAGTTCCGTTCTTGTGGTGAACTGTACTGGAAGCTGTATCAGAGTGCCTTTGATGCAGATCCTGCTTCCCTAGCCAACATTCAGATGTATCCTTCGAAAATAATTTCCAACACTTAATTTATTTAGTGTTCAGGTATAAGATGAAGCCACTCAATTTTGCCAGTGAGTGATTAGCACATCTGCTTTGTATTCAGAAATTCTAATGTTTGATTTTATGTTCAGTGGCTGGCTGTGGTGACTGAGGGTGTCAATGGTTTTACTTAGTCCCTATTAGTAAACATTACTTCAAATTAGGCCATGGCCACTTTATCATTGTTTAAAATTTGTGCTTCGAAGTTGTCTTCCCATTCAACACTACATAACCATGTAGTCTCATTTGCATTATTTCAGTGTTAACATTTCTTAGGTTGTTCAAATTCATTGTCTTGTGGAGAGTCTCTGAATGGGGATTTTATTATAATCAGTGAAATGATGTTCTTACTAAGAAAAGACATTGATATGGTTGTCAGTTTACTGAAGTTATTTATGTAAGTCTGTGTGTACACATAAGTTGGCTTTGGCCCGTATTAATGACAGAACATACTAGGTGGTTCAAATATGACCGGGACTGATTTTTTTTTTTTAAAACCATAATTGCCAAACACTTACTTGCACATGTCAGTCTTCAGTGTACTCCCCTCCGGAGTCAACATATTTTTTCCAACGTTCTGTAAGCATCCTGATGCCCTTTTAAAAAAAGACTTGTGGTTGGTGGTGTATCCACTCCTGAACAGTCTGGATGACAGCGTCGTCATCCACAAACTGCATGCCTTGCAAGTCTGATTTGAGCCTTCCAAACAGATAGAAATTCACTTGGGGCCAAATCAGGGCTGTATGGCGGATGTGTCAGAAGGTTCCATTTCAATTTCCAGAGGGTTTCCATTGTTGTTTTGGCCGTATGGGGGCATGCATTGTCTTGAAGGAAGGCTGCCCGCTTTCCACGTGTCTTCTGCTTGGATTGGAACTCTTCCTTCATGTCTTTTGCCAGGAGGTCTGAGTAATAAGCTGCATTGACTGTTCTGTTCCACATTCCTTGATAGTTATGTGCATATTCTCACGAATAAGCTTATCTGCATGATCAGTATTTGGCTCGGTGACGGATGTTAGCGGCCAACGATCATGCGGTTCAATCTCCACGTGCTCTCTGCCCTCTCTGAAGCACTTACACCTCTCAAACACATGGGTCTGTGAGAGACACTCTTCTCCATACTGTTTTGGAGTCTGTGGTGAATTTCAGCAGATGGGACGTTTTCTCCGAGGAATTTGATCACAATGCTTTGTTCCATGCTCTGCGGTACCTTCTGTACGCTCATCCCTCTAGCAACTTCCAGACAGGACTGAACAGGTTCTAACCCAAACAGGAGGGAGGGTGGAGGTTATGGCTTCACTCTCTCAAGGTGGCATAGCTGCTGCGCAGTGCAGCTTGTTTACACACAAATCAGTCCCGGTCATATTTGAACCACCTTGTACAAATATGTGTCAGCAAGAGAATACAGTTTGTGTTGCCTTAGAGGTTTGTGATGCGACTTCGATGCTTTGAACTGTTGAACAATCAGTATTTTCAGTCCCATATACAGATTTAGCATGTAGTCCTTAACCTTACTGCAGACTACAGCAGATGTGTGTCCTGATGGCTAATAGTGTGGAGAGGGTAGCTCAAGCAAACTATCAAGATGAGGCCTCACTGGAGTTCAGGTGAGGGTGATCAAATAAAACATGAACCTCACACATCTAGACTGATAATCAGCAGGAGTGGAAAGATGAACACTTTAGTTCACGTATTTGTTATGTTCCTTCAGATAGAACATTATGAAGTTGTTCAGAGTTTGAACTAGTAAACAAAGACATGCCTTGTAATAGTGATTATTATTAACAGCTGTGGTTCTTATTGGAAATGTTCTGTGAGTTGGTGTATATTGAATGATAAATTAAAAAATTCGTTATGTGTTCAAAATTGCTATACATATGAGATATGATCAAAAAGTTCTGAACTTACTTTACAGGACAAGGTTAAAATAGTCCAGTTTGTCTCCTTCAGAGTAGTCTCCTTTTGATTTTACACATTGATCCTAGAGATCCTTCCACAAATAGACTGGTCTAGAGGTATCACTCTAGACTTGTGTTACAGGAGATTCTCAGTTTGAATTTTGGGTGGGACACCAGCTGTGCTGACTGAAGCTTTTTTTGGTTTTTCTCAGTCCCTCCAGTCAAATGCCAGAATAGTACCTTGATTAGGCCATGACTGCTTCCTTCCAAATCCTTTTTGATCCATCTTCATCTGTCATCCTACCACCCAACGCTTTATAATCTTAATACTGAAAGCGTCATTAAAAAAATTGAATGATCTAGAGACCTTACCATTTGTTGCAGTGTGTTTGGTGCCATTTTGTTTCTTAGTTTCTCCTATTTTCTCTTTCTTCTCCCGCTCCTCTTTGCTATTCTTTTCTGTTGGGAAGGGGAGTGTTTGATTCTCATGTTGCACTTTATATATTCTCTAGTACTTCCAAAAATATTTTTCCTTTTTGAGTTTACAGTCTTTTTCAGGAAGCTTTTTAAGAGATTCTATCTTATAGCTCAGTGAATGAGGTGACCTGTCGTGGTTTCAGCAGGTTCCCACTGTTTGTTCTTAGAGTGCTGGGGTAATTTGACCGACTGACTGACAGACTGATCCACTGTATCTAATATCAGTAGTTTTGGGATGCTACAAAATTTACCCCCTGTTGGTAGGGACAGACAGACTGACTGCACAGTGGTGCAGGTCAGGGTATTATTTTTTCCTTGTATGACTCTGATTATGTTAGGAATTATTCTTATTGTTAGTTTCTGCCACAAGAGTGCAGTGCAAGTTTGAGGAAAAGGAGAAAGAGATGGTGATGATATTTATAATATACTTTTGTTGTTCAAAAAACCCTTACTCTCAAAAAAATTTATATGTTCCTGATTATTTGAGTCTGAAATAAATATTACATGAACATTACACAACAGTTACAATAACCATTTTATCTTTACAGTTGGAAGTTAAAGAAAAAAAGAAACAAACAAGCCATTCTCTTCAATACTCAAAGGGCTGTCATAATATGTATTTTATTTTATGTGACGTGGCTCCAGACATTTAACACATTCTGTATGAATGTACCTCTAACAGCTTTAATGCAGTATTTTAATTTTCTGTTTTTGTTTCTGGGAAATTATACTGCAGGTTTCCATTGTTTAAACAAACAAATCCTCCTCCTGAATATTGAAGTAAACTATGTTTGATAGGGCTGCGCCATAGCTCAAGCGGTTAGTCGCTGGCTTCCCATCGCGGCAGCCTGGGTTCGATTCTGGGTCTGGTCAAGTGGGATTTGTGGTGGACAAAGTGGTGCTGGGGCAGGTTTTCTCTTAGTACTTCTGTTTCCCCTGCCAATCTTCATTCCACCAATTGCTCTACAATCACCCTCACCTATCATCTGGGGCTGGTACAATAGGCCAGAAGTGGCCGCAGTGCAAGGGACTTAGTCCCACCCCACTAGCAATAATAAAAAAGAAACTATGTTTGATAGATGTGAATTTTTAACACTTTTTTTTTTCAACTTTGGCTATTTCATTGAAAGCTACCAGCAGTCAAATCTGGAGACACAGCACCTGATTCATTGCTGCCAAGAGGCCAGTGCAGTGGCACAGCAGCTGACTAAAAATGAAGATCTTAAAACTATTACACATCAGGTAAGGAAACTGAATAAAAGTGCACTACAGTTACAATAAAATTAAACTTCATAATAGTGTGACATGGATGGCATAGCGGGAGGTGGGGGTCGCGTGAACTCTGTGGTCTCGTGAGTGATGTCACATACCCCCACTCTGTCCATCAGTGTGCAACGCTCAGTAGACACCCCCTTCCCCGCGGTGACGTGGCAGATGAGCGGCTGCGCCAGGCAACCATTGCCACGGTGACGTAGCACGGGACACCACAGTTGCTACGTAGCCGTAAACAACTCCCGGCAGCACTGCCCAGCAACGCCTTTGTAAGCACGGCGGGGAGTCCGTGCAACGACTGTTCCTAGGCAGTTGTTATGCAACAGTGGTGCCTATTATGTAACTGTTTTCTGTGTTGTCCGTAATGGGGCTACATAAGGAGCAGCGAACACTATTCAACAGTTAGTTATGAGTTAGAAGTGAGTGAGTGATCAGTAGTTGCCGAAGTTAGTTGAAATGTAGCCGTCGCTGGAGACAGTGAATTGGAACAGTCGCTGAGTTCAGTTGTAGCGGAAAGAATACCAGAACGTGTGATTAGAAGTGATAGTGTGAGAAGCAGATGCTTGGCTCACAAGAGAAGTAATTGGGAGTGTGTAATACAGTTACACTGGTATAGCTCCCATATCGTACCGTGAATACGTGTAGACTACTGAGGACAGAGTGGACAGAATAGTGTGTAGTGTTGTAAATTGTGTAAACCGGTAACGGTATTATAATTAATTGTAGCCAAAACTTGTAGGTTGTTAAATAAACCAATTAACAATCTGAACGATGTCTTCAGTGGCAAAACATGTTACAAAATTTTACAAAATTAAGTAATTCAACATTTTATTTTTGATTGGATTCTGCCGGTTTAATTACTTTTTTCCCCATTAAATTTAAAAATAAAAATAAATCTAGGCTTTGTTTCTGAAAGAACATTGTCATCTGTTTAATGCAAAGATTGAACTTAGTTGCTTGCCTTCTTCATTTCAGCATATTGATTGCCTACTGAGGCAAGTCGAGATTCTGGCAGAATCTTCACTGTGTCTTCCACGATATTTCTTCCAGGTTCTTCAATCTACAAGTGTAAAGGTATTGTTAACAAATTATGTTCCCTCATATTGTTCATTTCAGGCATTTGCAGGCATTGTTTTATAAGTGGCTGTACTGTATTGTATTTAATGGTAATTTGTTTCGATAGAAAAAGTAGAGTGAAAATATTCATTTATAACAAAGTTAAATTGTTATACTTTCCTTTGAAACTCTGACCTTCATTTTCTCATAATTTGATCAGTTTCCTTTGTTTCCAGAATATATTGACCTTAGTCTAAACCAAACAGAAACAGTAATGTAACCCTCATAGTGTTCCTATAATGGTCATTTCTGCAGTTGGCTATTTCTCCGCAACCTCGGGTCTTGGGGGAGTCAATAAGTGTACAAAGTGGTTCTCAGCTAGCTGTCAAGGTAGAGGGAGTAATCCAGCATGGTAAGAGACCTGGGCTGTTCCGACGTGTCAGTGGTGTTGTTGTAACAGTATCTTCCCAACTCCAGGCTCGTTCAGCACACAACAACCATGACACTAAGGTAAGGATTAGATACACTGTAGGAGGGAGGTTGAGGTGTTTGGATATCCTGCTTATAGCAAGTTCTGATGTAAATTCATGTTCAATCAGTATACCTTAATTTGAACATTGTGGTATAGAGGTTGGCACTTCTGGTTCATATTCATGAGGTTATGGAGAGACCAGCCTTCCTGACTAGGTGTCTCATGATTTTGCTCAATCCCTCAAGACAAATGCTGAAGTAGTAAATGAACATAAGCCAGATAAGAAACACACATCAAGAGACACAGTATATACACAATTAAAACATAAGAAGAATGACTCCTATAGCAGATGAATGGCGTTACACACGAGTTTGATATACGACATGTAAGATGATAGATTTTAACAAGTTTTAATATCTAAATTTTATTATTGAACAATGACAAACACACATTTTATGTCATTTTATAAATGGACACTTGATGGCAGGCAGTGCAATGGTTTAACATGATTGACACACCTGAGGATGGCAGAATGATGCCAAAACATGTAGTGTGAAGTTACAAGTGAAATTGTATGCACTAAAAGACGGTAAATATATACACATTATGGATATTCAGGAGGTCCCAAGTTCAGTTTTTGGTCCAGAGACTGGAAGTCTAACTGAGGTCTCTTGTAGTTTTCCTTAGTGTTTCCAGGCAATGCTAGGATAGTACCTCAGATTAGGTTATAAACACAGCCTTCCACTTCTTTTGAATTCATTACTTATTAATGGTTATACCATTTTATCCTGTATGTACTTTGAGCTATTCACAGCATCATTAAATAAACCAGAAATAATTAAGTAAATTTACACAGTGTTATAACTTCATTGTTAACATTTTACTTGTTATTCACTACTTTACTATGTATGCCTCTGACCAGGGTCAGATTTAAGTGGAGTGACCAGGGGTTGCCTTGGGCCCTCCACAGAACAGAAATATAGCCCACAGGTTTTATTGAGACATTTGCATCTTTAAAATCATGAAAAATTCGTTTCAGTTTTTGGTTATTATAAGAAATAAGAAAGTGGGAAAAAACTGTCAACCTAAATTTGTTGTCACTTATATGGCCCTCCACATTTTGATTGCGCCAAGCCTCACTCCAACTGTAAATCCAACCCTACAGCTAACAAAGCATTATTAAGTAAATAAAGAAATTATATCCTCATACTGAAATCATGAACTGATGACTAAGTGGGTTGGTACTATGGTGATGTACCTGATTCATAATTAGAAGGCCAGAGAAAATTAACAGGTTCGTTCTCCTCATTCATATCAGGCAAATTCTGGAGCAGTATCTTCAAATAGGTGAAGATCATTCTCACTGTCTTCATTATTTATAATTAAATGCATGTGTTGGATTTTTGAGATCAGATCAAGAAAAAATCTGTCTTGATTGAAATACTGAATTTGCAGTCTTGAACTTTGAGAATTTTGTCATAACTGCTTTTGCTTTGTACAGTAGCATGCAAGCTGCTCAGTGGTGAGTGAGAACACAGCCCTACAGTTATTTATGAAAAAACTTCAATTAAAAAAAGATCTGATATCAAAAAGCATAAGTAGGAAACTTTAGTAAAGTAAAAAAGTAAAGGTATCCCTATAACAGGCTGTGGAGGCCCATAGGGTTGTGAGATGTTGAGGTTACCACATTTTCTAGACAATCAGCTCATAGATGGCAGCAAGGATGTCAGCCCTACGTGCCGGCTGCCCTTTACCCCAAAGAGTATTCCAAGAATATTCCTGGTACTCATTTCTGTTAGAGGCCGAGTTGACCCCAGGGCCATAGTGCGGCCGGAAGGATTAGGTCAATTGAAAAATCCGATGACAACATTGGGACTTGAACCCGCAACCTTCTGGCTTGTAGCATGGTGCCTCAACCAACTATGCTACCGCGTGCCCCCATTATGTAAAAATTACTACTGTTATAAATTGTGATTACAGCAAAGAAAAAGAGAATGGTCTAGTGGAAAAATTCTTGTTCTTGTCTAGATTATTGAACATTGTGGACATTTCTATCTGGATGTGGAAAAAAAAAATCATTGTGTATATTCATGTTAATAATCATTGTGTGGATGTGTGTGTGTGTATATATATATATATGTTTGGACTTATATTTTGTAATTTTTAAATTTTTAGCATGAAGCTCTGGTAGCAGGATTTTATATTTGTGCTGGAGGAAATATTGTTAGAAGCCTGTTCAGAGGTCCTAAATATAACCTACTATTGGACATGCCACTGATGGGGTAGTCTGTTGTTTTCAGAGTGTTATAAAAACAAAACCAAATGCATTTGTGCATGACAGATTTTGTGCCTTTATTGTTTCATCACATTTACATTTAACAAATTAAAATACAAACACAGTCCTGCATGTATAGTCATATGAAAATATGTGTCATGATATATTTCCCTAAACGTTTTATGTGCTAAAAATTGCAATAATCTGCCAATCCATAAACAACAAACATTCATATAGTAACGTGCACACAGTATTTGTGACAACATTTCTCTTTACAGAGTTCTGTAATATTACTATCAGAGCTAACTTCTTTTGTTAAGTAAACTTACTGGGTTTGTGTTGGCCATATTTACTGGTATTGTCTGACCTTGAGTATGATCACATTGCAAAAAAGTGCAGAATCATTACATCTGAGGAGTGAGAATAAGTGTACAGATTTCAAGGATATCCTCTTTTAGTAACCTTGTAGTCTTACATTAGAAGCAATAATGGTTATCCCAGCATGATATTTCATTATTTGTCCTAAACTACATCAGACATTGGTTGAAGTAATATGATATTATGACTTCCATTTCCTACTACAAAAAAAAATGATGATACACTATTAATCTCATGTTTTCTGTAAAATAAATATATTCTAGGTCTCATTTAAACACATTCATAGGAACTTGGTGAACTGGTAAAAGCCCCATCATCACTGTTTTGTATATTACATAAATTCCCATTAAAATACACAACCATGTGTGGAAAATTATCTTGTATACAATATGTACTACAGAATTTAAAAAAATAACTTAACCTACATTTGTAAAGACTAAGTAAGTAGACTGGTGGGACCTTACATTCTTATATCACATTTTTTAAAAATATTACATCACTGAGCAGCAGTGTAGTTGCAGACCTGTATTGTTAAAAATACTTTTAATTGCATTTCTTGTATCTGGATGAAGAAAATATATTAATGTAGTATAATTACTTGAAAAAGTGAATGAGTATGTTAAAATATCATGTAATTTAGTTCTCACTGATATTAAGTAGGAAATTCCCTTTCCAAACAGATTTGCAATACCGAAATCGTTTTTACCTACAGTATTCTTATCATATGACAGGTATGTGCTGTAAAATAAATATACATTTTCACATCATAATATTTTATGCAGTAACGAATTTAATATGAGCACTCATACTTCACTGTTACACCAGAGTAACTCAGCAAATTTGTTCATAGATCAGGAAATAATTATGCAGGCTATTACAAAACTTAACAGTGAGTACTCATAATGCTTATGGTTTTGATAACAAATGCTTATAATGCAGATTCAGAATTAACTTTCTGTTATGACTCCATAGTGTCCATGTCTGTGGGAAACAGCTGATAAAACAGAAATTTACAAGTTTAATCTTCAACATTCTTATTCTTGTCAGGAATGGCTCAATTGATGAAATTTCCAAATAAAAATATGCAATTCCATGAATAGCTGGTACTAGAATTCAAAACAGAATTGTTTATTTCAGGTTGCTGGAGATGGAGGCTCTGTGTTAACCCAAACAGTTGCCCCACATCGGGATTTCTTCACGGCACAGTTCCTGCTAGCATTTCCAACTGGTGGTCAGTATTTGTTAATAGTGGAGGCATCGGTAATAGATGAAAAGAGCAATGTATGGCGTACTGGACCCCGGACTAGTCTTACAGTGAAATCTCATGAGGAGGGTGGCAAGGTGGCAATAACAGCAGGTGTCCAGGGTGCTGCAGCAGGAACAAGTGCCGGTACTTCTGGTAGGGGCAACTTTCCTAACACAAGTGCCAGATTCTGAGAGCTCACTTCATAGCAGGTAACAAACACTTATTTGTATTTTGTACTCTGATGAATAATTTAGAATTGATGGGACATGGTTAACCTGTCTGTATTTGAGTGTTCAGAAACTTGGCCCCATATGATGATGTCCACAAATAGTTTATTTTTCTCTGTTTATCTAGAAACCATGTCAGATTCTAGAGGTGTTTGGTCGTTTGTAACTTTATGATCTGAGGTGGCTTGTTTGACTTTGAGTACTTCCTTGTGTGCTAATAACGTTTCTTTTTATCCATAATGAAATACAGTAATATCTCCATATACCAAAATGTAGATGACTCAGATGCTTTGACTTTGCTTAAGCAAGAGTTCTTCATATGAAGGTTATCCTGCACATAACTGTAGTGTGTTCAGCCTCACTTAGATCAAGGATTTCCTCATACAAATTATATTCTGGGTCATCCAGTTCATTTATAACTGTCACATTGTAAAGTCAATAGTTTAGACACTCCTCACCTTAGATTCTTTTAGGTCTTTACGTAAGAAGGGCTCTCCCTTATCTGTTAGATTTCATTAACTGATGGATTAATATTACTCATGTCACTTTATTTAATTTCCACACATGCTGTTTATTAAACATCCATAATTTCCTTGTCCCATTGTATCTGACCTGATTTCATTTGTACTAAGGAAACTTCATCATGTACAACATATGCACACAGTGGAATATTATGTATACAAGTTTGCAAGGATGATGCTCACACTTTATATTAAGAAGATCTATGGATCTCTCTCTCTCTCTCTTTCTTTTTAACCATATCTCAATTCTCTCTTTTCTGATGTTAACTTACACTAATTTTATGCTATTGGATATAAACAATAGTCGCAGTAGAATATGTTTCTTGAAAGGATTCTGACAATGGTGTATACTGTACTTCTTTTGGACTTCACCCATCGTCTGGTATATAAAAGACAAAAAAAAAAAAAAAAAAACCCACGACGTTTCGGAGACTGGATCTGTCTCCGTCTTCAGTGGTCGTCACTGGACCAGTGATTGAGACCTGCTCTTTCTAAGGGGCCCAAGTGAGTAGGTTTATCCTTCCCTATCCACCTGAAGACGGAGACAGATCCAGTCTCCGAAACGTCGTGGTTTTTTTTCTCTTTTATATACCAGACAATGGGTCAAGTCCAAAATAAGCCAAAAGAAGTACAATATGGTTCTTGTTAATCTTCTCTAATTACATTAGAAACAGACTTTACAGAAAAATAATTAAAACACATATATGTATATGTAAGTATTAACATTTAAGGCTTATTATTTACTTGACTTGGAAGGGATGTCCAGCCTCAGTAATAACACAGTGAAGAAATGTTAAACATCAGCCCTATTTTGTACTACTACAGTGTGATGTGTTATCCTACAATTATCAGTCTATTTATATGGTATAAAAATAAATGTGTTGTGCAAAATACAGCACACCTCATTTTTTAAGTCTGCTTCAGCAGTAATCTCCTAAGTCCCTGTGCTGTATAGGAGTATTTGTAAGAATGGTGCTTTGCTCGGTTATTTGTAAGCTCTTTGCCCATGAAAATTTTGATTAGCATCTTATTTTTACCTTTCTGCCAGCTTTGCATATTGCTGAATGATTTAAATTAAAATATGAAATGAAAGGAAGAATGTTCATTTCAAATCAACATTTCACCTTGGCATCACAGTTTTTAAAGTTTTTTTGCATCTTTAATTTTGATAGATGCTACATTTTCACTGTTTTATGTAAGTGGTTCTGCAATTGAGAAAAAATTGCTACAATCTGAATTTTTTTTTCTAACCCTGCAAAAGTGTCCACATTAGACTTTTGAGCTCCATACAATAAAGGCCATTGTAGTATCAATTGCATAACTATAATGCAGCATTTCTTAGCCTTGGTATCAGTACTCTTTGGGATAGCAAAGCAGCTTCCTAGGGGTACCATAAATCCTCACTCGTAATTTTCAGCTTTTCTATCAAAATGGTATGTTTGGGTGTCATTTTTATTTTGAATTGACCTAGAATAATGTTGTGTATATGGCAGATATAAAAATTATGATAGGTCATTTATCAGAGCATTAAAAATTAAGTTGTGGATTTTCAACTTGTTTTTCATGGGGTTCAGATATTTGGTGAATTCTTTCAGGAGGTACCAGGCACAAAAGGTTGAGAACCATGGTTGTAATGGAAGTATTATTGAAAGTATTATCACATCAAGGTGGCATCATACCTTCCTCAGCATTACATACACACAAATACACCTGCTTTGATATACATACATTACCTACATCCATCATTAGTGGCTATATGCTATGGCAACAGCAGATAACTAACATCTTCTAGTGTTACTTGCATAAATTATCATATAAATGTACTGAAACTACTTAGTAAAACATAATGGCTAGTAACAGGCAAAAATTTAAGGGGTTGTTTTCATCATAAAACAGATTCACATAAAAGAAATGATGCCTTCATAGCTGAAGTACAAGATGTTCTACTAATCTCATCTCATTAAAAGCAGTTAAATCCTTAGCTTTAAACACACAACTATATAACACTTAAGTGAACACCGACTGAAGCATTCACTGGTCTAGACCCTGTTCTATTCAGATTCACTAATTTCTGAAACAGTGAACCTTTTGACATATCTGGTAGAACAGCATAGATGGAGAATCAGTCCACTGCAAAACTTTCCCCTATACATGACAACAAAACACAGGAAAAAAAAAAATTGACCTATTCCAAATGAAATTTGATCCCATGATCACAATATTTTAGCAGTCAAAGACCCGATGTGCTGTAGAGTACATGCCCACTGCAGTCAGCTGCTGTACATTATTAACTAATGGAAAATTAAGTGTTACTGTGCAAATGCTGCAGCTCCAAAGTGCATAATACTGCTATATTTGTCTTTTAATATTGTGATATTACCATTACATTAGAACGTTTTCATAATTACCTTGCTGTTATGACCAACAGAAAGTTGAGAATTTCAGTTACGACATATGACAATCAACCATTCTATCTAATTACATTCATGTCAGGCGTTTAGTCCCAATTAGGTACTTTGTATGTAGTTTGTGTTGTTATCTCCTTTACTTCAAGCAATTGCTTTACTTCTTTCTTTATTCATCTTCAGTTTACTACCTAGTATCAATTGCTACAATGCTTTCAAAATGCCAGTCTTTGATTTTAGGAGATGAGTAGGAGAATCTTATCATTTTCACTTATTTTTATTTGTCGTTATGCTGCCTCATATTTGTACTTGTAAAATTATGCCACTCTGTTGAAACTACTTCCTTTCAAAGTCACCTCGTATACCACCAGTCTTGAACATTAGTTTGACTTCTGAAATGACAATGTCATGACTCACGGCTTTGCACATATCGTAGACTGTAAGAGCTGATATGGCAGCAGCTGTAAGAGCTTCCATCTCCACGCCAGTCCTACCCTCACATCTTGCTGTAGATGTGATAATGACAGCATGATGGTCTTCATCTAATTTCATGTCTACCTTGACATGTGACAGTGGGATATTATGACATAGGGGAATCAGTTCAGATGTCCGTTTAGCAGCCATTATACCGGCAAGTTGGGCAGTAGTCAGTACATCTCCTTTCTTCAGGCTGTTCTGCCCAATGAGATGTAATATGTGAGCTCCTACTTCAACTACAGCCTGGGCCATGGCTATACGAGTCGTGACTTCTTTGTTGCCAACATCAACCATTGCTGCTCGACCTTCTTCATCCACATGTGTGAGACTGCCATTTGTTGGGGAGCAGAAGCTACGTATTCCAAGTGTTCTAAAATTATTCTGAATTCGTGTATTTACAGGATCAAGAAATAAATTCTGATTCCATATATGTTGCATGTTTGAAATTCTGTTTAGTTGGTAGTGTCTCATGTTGGGGTTCCTGTAGATACTGTAGACAGAAGTTTGATCTGGAAAATCAGTTGGAATTTTCATAAGTCACTCAGTTAACCTTATGCTTAAGACTGTGGCTTAAAGACGAGTAGCCAATTATAGTAGGATTTTTAAAGTCACTTGTTAAAATAGACCATTGATAACAGATGGTGTTATATGAATACTTGGATAAAAGGATAAGAATTTGACATTTGAGAGGTGACAAAAATATATGTCTTCTGTAGATGCTCTGTGAGTGTTCATTTAGGTATGCTGTAAATTTCATTTTAATTCCTTTCTTCATTCTGAAATGCTAGAAATACTTTTGCCATATAAATATACATACACGACAGTTATCCACCAATAAGAATCATAGGTCGATTCTTCATCTTAGAAAGATTCTGCATACCTGTAAGAAATTATACTTGTTCATGAAAATGTCGAGCAAAACATACTTTTATGATCATAATTTTACAGCCTTTCACAATACTAAGGAAGGACATTTGTTTTTAAAGTAATGTTTTCTAGTCCATTAGCATTATGGGTATTTCTGTCAATTCCTGTTTGATTCTGAACAACATGATACTTTAAAATGTATTGTTACTTTATAATTTTATGTCTTCTGTTTTAAACTTGTACTTGATTCGCCCAGGTAGCCAGTGAAGGATCTTAAAGAGTTTTAAGGGTGGCCTGTTCTACTGGCTGATGAACCCTGTCTCCCTTGTTAACATTTCACAATATTCTCAGGTTTTCTTTTTACACTGAAAGTTGTTTATGCTTCTGAAATAAATTCCTTAATATTAATGAAATTTCCATCATAAATTTAGAACTCTGCGTGTGTTCTAAGGAATTCTGAAGCACCTTTGTACGTATTATAATACTTTGGCTATGAAAGGTTGTGAGCTGAGTTTGTAAGAAAATAACAAATGAAATATGTCATACAAAATGTCCACTCTCTGAGCAGAAGTAGAACCAGTACAGAAATCAAGATGGTTAAAGCTGATGTGTTTCAGTGGTATCTTTCATAAAAGACAGGATTATGTTCCCTCACATAAATAAGCCAAAAATAATGTGGTACATCCTCGGGTTACAGAAGCTAGCTGCGAACATATTGAATAAGCAGTCACAGACAGCGGACAGTGGGTGGAGGTTTAAGCAAAGGGGCTAATAATCTTTTACTGTAAAAAACAATTACTTTATAAAATGTTTTACGGGGCCTGAGACTTGGATGGATTCTGGAACAACCTATGGAATGGAAGATAGATGTGAGATTATGTGGTAAAACTTTGTTTCTCGTGTTATAGCAGGAACTTTGAGTGAGGGTGTTTGAGAACAGGGTACCATGGAGAGTACCTGGAATTAAGGCAGAAAGTAACAGGAGACTTGAGGGGGAAAAAGTGCACAATCAGGAACTTCATAATTCACATTCTTTAAATATTAGGATCATTATGAGGAGGAGATGGGTGCGGCAGGTAGCATGTATGTGTGAGATAACAAATGAAAAAATTTTAGCCAGACAGTCTGAAAGGAAAAGACTGAATGGAATGCACAGGTGGGAAGATAATATTAAAACTGAAAATAAAGAAACAGGATTTGAGTATGTGGACTGTATTAATCTTGTCTAGAATACTGTCCACTGGTAGGCTCTTGTGAACATGATAATTAAGCTTCAGGTTCCATAATAGACAGAGAATTTAATGACAGGCTGCGTGATTATTAGCTATGCTGCATGGAGTTACAGGGGAAAGTTATGCTGTAAACCACTGTATTATCAGCTCACACAAGAGGGAAAAGTTGGGGCATATAGGCATTTGTTCTGCAGCCGATGGAGAAAATGGGTTATTTGGTTCTATGACTTACCTGCATGCTGCTGCTTCTTTCTTCTTACAGCTGCTCCAATTAATGCAAGCAAATCATCTTCACTACATCCATTACGCATTGCATCCCTGTAAGTGTTTGAGTCATGGAATATTAAATCTGGTGTGACAGTGACTTGAAATATGTTTTATATGTCATATTCCTTTTATAAAAGATTTATAATACTTCCTTACCTGAGAGAGATCTCTGCATTTCCAAAGAGGCATACTTTAAGGTTTCCATCTGCTGTTATTCGAAGGCGATTGCATGAACCACAAAAATGTTCACTCATAGATGTGATAAATCCAATTTGTCCCTTGAAACCTGGGACTTTATATGCCTGCATATGATGAAAAAATTTTGAAAATAACTTCTAGACAGGTAACAAACTGGATAGATCATTTTTGTACCTATGGTTTTTGGTTATCACAGAATTGACCACCATTTAAAGCTTCCAAATGTTACATGAATTTGTTCTATATGCCAGGATTACTTAATTTTATCTCAGACAAAAAGTAAAAGGGGCTGCATCAGTATGTAATTTTACTATCATGTTCAACCCTTCCTCACTCATTCCCATGGTTACTAATGATCAATGGCTGCTGTAACAAGCAAAATGAACAGAGATTTCCCAGTAGTTGCTTGCTTTCATTTTTAGAAATTAGAAATGAAGCTAAACACTGTCAGTCTATTAAGTATCCATGATGGATCAACACAGATCTGCCTAAGTTCTTATTATTGGAGGACACCTGATGGTGAAATACTGTTGCGTACAAACATGTGTGATTCTTGCTTATAGACTTCTATGGCCAGAATCGATCGTGTAGTGTGCGTAATGCTGCGGTATATAAAGAATATGTCATGGAAAGACATTGGAAGATAAATTAGAAATTATCAGGTCATTCAAGGCCAAATTTCTCCAAAATTTGAGATTTCCCAGCTGACACTATCAACATGTCTGAAAAATCAGGATGTGATATAAAACAGGCCATAGGATGGGTAGGAATTGCAAAGATAAAACAAGTAGCCATATATGGTTATTTAGAAGATGAACTATTTAAATGGCTTTGCTGTGCTTAGGCTAATAATAGTCCTTTGACATGCTATTGCAGTGGTAGCTGAAACAGCAGACAGTCTTAAATGATATAGTAAAAGATCAACAAAAAGAACTGCACAGTTCCAGATAACTGATTTTTGTTTTGATTAATTTTTACAGATTATAAACCAATAACTGTGAACTACCAGCAGGTCTTCCCTTGGTTTGCAAGTAATTATGATCCCTACCTTGGATGTATCATTTGGACCATTTGGCAAAGCATGTAATTCAGGCCACTGTGCTATCAGTGTCTGGATCATCTCACGGTATGACACCATTTTCTCATCATTCCATTTGTTGCCAGCAAATGGCATATATTCAATGAATCTGATATCCAGATTACGGTCTTCTGTCAGTTGAACAAAGTCAGAAATCTCATCATCATTGAATCCACGCATCAGCACACAGTTTACCTGTTGCAGTATGGAATTGTACAATTAAATTAAAATGTCTCATTCTCTTGATAATAATGTTCTAAGAATTTTTGAAGACAGGTGTATGTTACAGATTTCATTATCTGGCAAAAAGAAATACTTCAAAATATGAGTGATTTTTCAGCATTTGTTTACAATGAAAGTATATTACAAAGGTCTTTCTCAGTGTGTCAGCAACAGAAGACAACTGTGTCTAAAGCAACCTCGAGGGTGCATCATGATCAGACAGTGATGAATTGTTACATCATCATTAGACAATTGCTAGATTCTATTTTCAGTACATGATGGGAACCAAAATCGCTATATTGGAGATCCTGTTGAAGACAAGGGACTGTTTTCCCATATGGTTGCCTGCTAAATATATAACACACCTTCAAAGTTGTTCTAGACAGAATAATAGTTTTCTTTTGTCATGTGTATTTTTTCATTTAAATAACTCATTATGAATCCTAAAAATGCTCAGACTTATCCTGTGTTTCCTCAGTTTCAGAAATTAAAACTGAACTATATTGGGCCTTTTTGTTTGTAACAGACCTATATATGTAAAAGCATGACTGTTGTAATAAACAGAGTTGAGATATAAAAAAAATGTACATTAATGATTTTTCATTAATTAAGAGGCACTATGCTACAAGGTGGAAGGTCATGGGTTCGATTCCCAATGAAGCCACTGGACTTTTAAATTGGCCTAATCCTTCCAGCTGCACTATGGCCCTGGGGTCGACTCAGTTTCTTAACAGAAATGAGTACCAGGATTCTTCCTGGGGGTGAAGGGAGGCTTGCTGGCATGTAAGGCTGACAAGCTGATTGTCTAGAAAATGTGGGAGCCTCGACATCTCACAAATTTATGGGCCTCCAAGGCCTGTTACAGGGATAGATTTACCTTTGTTTTTTTTTATGTAACAATTCAAATAAGTGTAATTAATAATTTTTAATACTGTATGTATATTTAGTAGTCTTTACTTTCATATAACATTCATGTAATAATAAACTTTTTAATATAGATGATAAAATGTATACTCAAAAAGAAGTACAGCCAAGATGAAGTCTGTAGAAGAAAGCAGGTAATGAGACCATGCCAGTTGCTTTTGAGAATTGTAGCAATTAGTGCTACAGCCTTTGTAATGAACAGTTGTGAAAAGGAGCAAGTCATAGACACAAGGAAGGTTAACAGATTTCTTCCAAATGTTCATGTACTTCATTTGTTCATTCATAACTGTACAATTCATACTGGACAGAGTTTCCACATGCATCCTCTACACCTTGGCACTTGGAATGCTTCTAGCTATTGCAAATATGTTTCTTGAAGATATCAGGTTGATAGTTCCTGGAGTATGTAATTTGGCTTACTTTCATTCTTTTCAAAGTCTAACACATAAGAGACAGTCTTTACCTTGACTGAGTTGTAACCTAACTGGAGGGCTAAGTCTATTCCTGCCATTACTCGTTCCCATCCCTTTCTCCTAGTGACTTGCTCATAACGAGAAGGACGGAGGGTGTCCAGGCTCACATTGAGAACATCTAGGCCTGCTCGTTGTAAGGCTACCAGTTGACGAGTTAACATTAAACCATTGGTTGTTATGGCCACTGTTTGTAGACCTTCAAGCTTCTTTAGAGATCCTGAAAAACAGGAATTTTGGTATCCATATTACAACACAGCTACAAAACAGTGTTGTAGATTATTGAAATGATTACTTATTGTCACTGCTGTCAAAAATAAGACCTTAAGTTTGTATTATAATATTGCATTTTGAGAATTAAATTAAGAACAATTTTCTTCTGACCCACTGGTTGCATACAAAGCAGAAAATCATGTAACTTTGATTTCAGAGAGAACTATACGAAGGGGGACCCAAAAATAACTGGAAACGACCTGTTGCACGCGCATGCTTTGTAGTTATGAGTTGTGCTGCTAGGTGGTGTTAGCTGGGGGTCTCTTGCGACTGTTAGTGAGCTGGCGTCAGTCTGAGTTAAGTGGTTTGTCTGTGGTGCTCTGTTGTGTGCGTTCCTGTTTCAACCCTTTGGCGATTAGTGAGATGGCCGACCAGAAGGAACAAAGAGTGTGCGTGAAATTTTGCTTTCGTTAGGGAAAACTGCAGCCGAGACTGTTGGGATGCTTCGGAAAGCCTTTAATGATGATGCTTTGGGGAAATCACAGGTCTACGAGTGGTTTTCCCGTTTCAAATCTGGCAACATGTCAACAGAAGACATGCCACGCCCCAGGCATCCTTCGGCGGGAAGAAATGACGAAAAAATTGCCAAAATCAAATGTGCAATTGATGAAGATCGTCGAAAGACCATTGACCAACTTTCTGAGGAAACGAACATCTCATGGAGCACGGTCCAGCGAATTTTAACCGAAGGTTTGCACATGAGACGGGTGTCTGCAAAATTTGTTCCTCGCTTGCTCGGAGATGACCAAAGAGAAAACCACGTGAATGTTTGCCGCGACTTGAAGAGTGAAGTGCAGAACGATCCAGAATTTCTTAAAAGAACTGTTCCTTCTGGTCGGCCATCTCACTAATTGCCAAAGGGTTGAAACAGGAACGCACACAACAGAGCACCACAGACAAACCACTTAACTCAGACTGATGCCAGCTCACTAACAGTCGCGGGAGACCCCCAGCTAACACCACCTAGCAGCACAACTCGTAACTACAAAGCATGCGTGTGCAACAGGTCGTTTCCGGTTATTTTTGGGTCCCCCCTCGTACATACAGGGAACTGTTCTGATAATATCTGTCCACATAAGTACATTAAACCCCTTTCACAACACTTCAGCCATATGTTTATGTCAAGAACCAAACAGCAGTGAATGAAAATTCACACCAATACATCGTAAGAAGAATAAACCATATTTCAAATTCCAAAGATGATATTGGAAGGTTTTAGGCTTTCCTGAAAGATCAGTGCAAACGTGAATCCTCTTTATGGGGGTTGATGCTTTTTGGATTATATTTTCAGTGTTTTAGAGATCCATTCTGTCTCCATCTTTGTCAGTACAGCCTACATCTACATAATGCTATGCCCAGAGACAGAATCCACAGTATACAGTTGGTCTTCAGAATTTTCTGGAGCCCCTTGTAAAATATTAGGTGACTGTCTGTTGCATCTTCATTAGCTAATTCTAAAAACAGAGCCTGTTATTATGGGTCTTCAAATCCTAGTGTTGTGCATAATAATTAGTAACACTGATCCCTGGAAATTTGCTGTACCTCATTTTTTAAAGTCTTTCATACACAGTTTCCTTTTATTTATTAATACATGTATATGTGTTACAGTCTTTCCATAAAGAATGCGAATACACATAATTCATGATAAAAGATTTACAGTTTTTTTTATTGCTAGTGGGGTGGGACTAAGTCCCTTGTACTGCGGCCACTTCTGCCCCTGATAGGTGAGGCTGATTGTGGAGAAATTGGTGGAATGAAGATTGGCAGGGGAAACCGAAGTACTCGGAGAAAACCTGCCCCAGTGCCACTTTGTCCACCAAAAATTCCACTTGACCAGACCTGGGATTGAACCCGGGCTGCCACGGTGGGAAGCCAGCTACTAACTGCTTGAGCTATGGCACGGCCAAAGATTTGCAGTTAGTACAGCATTATTTTAACATATGATAATTATAGTGGCTAATATGAGTAGTTCCTTAAAGACATCAAACAGAGTTATATTGAAGATTTAAGAATTCTGTTTTTCAGGATGTAATGCTGTGTAATCTGTTGAAAGTCAACTGACATCAGCTGACTTTCATGAATTTTATCCCAGAAGATAGGACTCTTCATAACCACTGCTGCAAGAACTCCAAATCCTACAGACTTACACATTAACTCTAACTGATGGTGAATAAATGTGCTGAAATCTTCTTGGGCAGTCAGCCATGTCAGTGTTGAGTTAAATACCAGTGTTTCAGAGATCATTTACATCTCCATCATCAGGTTCAATGATATAGCCAATCGCCCAAGAAGATTTTAACACATGTAAGTAACTTATGATACCATGGAACAGAATACTTCTTTATAAGCTAACAATCAATTACCTGGTCAAACTATCAAATGGTTTTGTACCATGTTTACAAGAGCTCATCATTGGACCCTGTCCTAAGCCAGATGAATCCAGTTAACAACCTCACACCCTATTTCTTTTAAGCTCCATAGTATTCTCCCATGTATACCTAGATCTCACAAGTTGGCTCCTCCCTTCTGGTTTTCTGACCAAAATTCTTTGTGTATTTCTCATCTCTCCATGTGATCTACTTGTCCCACCCATCTTATCCTCAGTTTGGTCATCCTAAAAATATCTTATGAGTATAAATTGAGAATTTATTTATTATGAAATATTTTTCATCCTGTTTCTTGGGTCCAAATACCCTCCTCAATATCCTTTTCCCAAATATTCTCAATCTCTTTTCCTCCCATTGGGTAATTATTATGACTGTAGTCATGTTGTGGTGTTTGCTCATAAAACAATAATCCAAAACATTCATGTGTTGTGTGAGATCAGCAACCAGATGAAAGAAAGTCTTGGAACTTGATTTGCGACTTAAACAACAAGTGAATAATAAACAAACATATTTGTATAAGGCTGCTGATTTCACATATGCACATTTTCAAAAGTTCAAGTTTAAAATAAATCAGCCATGTTCTTCTGGAGTGTTTGCTTACCAATAATATCAACAAGGTCTTTCCGAATTGTGGGTTCTCCTCCAGTTAAACGGATTTTGGTTACTCCTTCCTTTACAAACAGTTCTGCTAGACGGATAACTTCTTCGGTTGTCAGAAGATTTTGTTGAGCTGTAAGTTTTATTCCCTCAGCGGGCATGCAGTACGTACCTAGAAGAATAATTTCAGTTCAGTTTATAAATATAAGAGATGGTAGTGCTATGTGATATCATTGGGCTAGCAAAATCTTTCATTACATTTATGAGAATGAGGAAAATTCATTCAGATATGAATATCAGAATGTAAAGCACCCATTATCATTATTTTCCCCCCTCAAAATAAGCCATGTTACTTGCATCTCAGGTTACAGCGTTCTGTGAGTGATATGCGCAAGTAAGTATGATGTCGACCAAATGTATCAGTCAGTGCAAGTGATTGCCCATTTGCCTCTGTAGCATCTTGTAAAATATTTTGCACCTTTGGCAGCTTTGCCTGTAAAATAAAGCAGTTTGACAGCAAGTGATGAGTTGTATGTTTTGTTGTAAGACACTTGTATACCCAATATATTTCCTAATTACTGGGTCAGAGAGGTTCAGAACTGAAACAAATTTACTTGTGATTTCCATCAGGTAAATTTAAGGGGTTTCTGACATCACATAATATTTCCTCTCCACCCACATGAAGGGAGCACACTGATATGTAAATAAAACACTGTAACTACCAATAGTCCATCAGATGAAAACCATCTTCTATGTGGAAGTAAGGTTTTGAGTTTTGTGCGATACATGTTGAATATAACCACGACAAATCACGAATGCATTAAAAAGATACCGTCAATTCAACAAGTGCCAACGTAAACAAATTTGTTACGGTCAGTCGGTTACGACTTTTGATGTTTTTGTTAAGCAACGTGTCGTGCATATTACGTATGAACTGATAAGACCTTCCTGTTATTGATTGTGTAACAGTCAAGTGTACATTCATAAAAAAAATTAAGTTTTATTTTTAAGAAAGTGAATGCCCGCGGGACTGCTTTTATCGCTTTTTCAGCATTGCATATTCTATTCGACCATTGGTCGTTAGAGTGTAACTGTACTCGAAAACTCGGAAAGACCTTGCATCACAGATAACCTCTATCCTAATATCACGGATCATTAAACACATCAATGACTAAATATGGAACTTTATCTACCGGACGTAAATAAGACTGTCGTGAAAGTTACAAATTTACCTCCTTACCATGCTTTATTTTTTAAGGTTTTTAGTAATTGTACGTCTAATTCAACTCTTTTAGAATTGTTCTGCACAAGTTCGCCCATAGTTTGAGATACGTGTATAAATTGGAAATTAATTATGGTATTTTTTTAAATAGCGTCACTATAAATACATTAAAGAAAGAGAGACATTAGAGCTGTAATGCACTTCCTCGTCACGAAATCGGACGGACTATGTTGGCCACCCTGAATATAGTAGTCGACGGAACAAAATCGATCAAGAGCTCCAAGAGCAGGAGACGATTAAGTAGGATAAGTAATTTAGTTAGGTTAGGGGATATCCGAAGGTAGGTCAGAGTTAAACCAGTTCCCACATCAGTCTGGTAACCGTAATGTGCGCCTGATACACGGTATGTCTTTATTTCCGGCGTATTCAGATGGTGATTCTGTACCGTGGAAATGCAATGACCAAGACATCAAAAGAGATGATGCAGTGGTTGCAGGTTTGTTGCGTTTTAAATGATATGTTTGGCGAGGTGATGGAAGAGGTTTGATTACTTCGCTTCGTAGTTACTGGGGATCAAATGGTTAGATTCATATATGAGGGTCGAAGTGAATTTCGTTCGCCCTCCTAAGGAATACGGGTCGCGGATGGTCATGTGGGTGTGTTCCTGACACATGAGCAGCCCACTAGATGTACATCCATTTAATGGTGCTTCAGTAGTATGCCTGCCTCAGTGCTTATGGGGATATTTTTAACAGCCTCTACTTATTTGCACAGAACAGGTTTTACAGCCTTCATGTTTAAAATTTGCCAGAGAACATTTGGTTTTCATTAGGTCTAGTCTGTTACGTTACACTTCTTGACTATGTTTCACATCATTGAATTATTGTCGTAAGAGTAACTGGACTTCCTGGAAATAGTGCCGCGCCATAGCTCAAGCGGCCTGGGTTCGATTCCGGGTCTGGTCAAGTGTAATTTGTGGTGGACAAAGTGACGGTGGGGCAGGTTTTCTCCAAGTACTTCGGTTTCCCCTGCCAATCTTCATTCCCCAAATTGCTCCACAATCACCCTCACCTATCATCTGGGGCTGGTACAATAGGCCAGAAGTGGCCACAGTACAAGGGACTTAGTCCCACCCCCACTAGCAATAAAAAAATAACTGCAAATAGTTCTGAAATCTGTGGAATGTCCCTGAGCAGATTTTATATGACATGTGAACTTAACATAGTTTTGCTGTGTGCCTGTGTGATATGCTGCTACCTCACATTTTGGAAAGAACACGTTGCTGTGATGAGCTCTGAGAAAATTAAAACAATCAGCTTAATTTAATTTAATATAATTTTAATTTCTTGTTCCATCACATCCATTTGAGGCTGAAGCCTAGATACAGAATCGTGTCAAATTATCTTGCTACTACCATCAAACAATTGTCTAAAATCTATGTATAATTTATAACAAAAAATGTTTATGTCAAAGTAAAGTCATAGTAAAGGCAAAAAGTACACCAATTTTATTTGCAGATGATGCCAGTGTGTTAATCTCACATGCTAATCCAATTATGTTTAGAAATAAGTAAACGAAGTATACAGTTTACTAGATGATTGGTTCAAAAAAAACTTAATGTCTTTAAATACAATGAAAACATATTATATAAACTTTACTGCAAAAACCAGGTACAAAGGGATATAGGAGATTTAGTAACAATTATTACAAACATAAATGATACTAAATTTCTTGGACTGACCATTGAAAACGATATGACCTGGGAAAGACATATCGATGAGGTAACAAAGAAATTGACTACAGCTTGTTACATGATCAGAAATATAGAACCAGTAGTATCTATGAAAATATTAAAAAGTATCTACTACTCATATTTCCATTTGGTTATGACGTATGGCCTGATATTCTGGGGAAACTCATCGCATGCCGAAAGGGTTTTCAAATTGCAAAAGAGAGCCATAAGATTGATCAAAGGCTGTGATCTTAGAGAGTCATGTAGAGAACATTTTAGGGATATGAACATACTGCCCCTAAGATCACAGTACATATACTCATTAATTATGTTTGTAATAAATAATAAAGAAATATTTAATATAAATAAGGATTGCTATGAAAAAGATACTAGACAGAATATGAATATACATATATACCAGGTCAATTTGGTGAAATATAGGAGTGGGGTTTATCACATGGCTGCAAGGATTTATAATAGACTTCCAAATACAATCAAAATAATCTAAAATAATGCAAATAAGTTTAAAGCCAGTTTAAAAGAGTTTTTATTTGTGAACCCCTTTTATACATTAGAGGAATATTTTAATAGATGACAATGGCAACATTATGCAAAGGGTAATTTATATATTTAACTTTTTAATTTGATTTATATTACAAACATATTGACAACTGCTTGATTTATAAGCAAGATGAGTTTATACTACTGGAC